TGCACTACATTTAATGGGAGTAAGTTTTTCTTTTCCTACTGCCTGTAACTTATGTGTTTTTGATTGTTGTCCATAGTTTTTCTTGAGGAAAAGGTATTGATATAACCGAATGGATTGGTCTAATAATACGGATAAATTTCACTTATAAACATACAAATGCACAGCCAATATGATAACTCGCTTGAATATTTTGTCTTATTAAACCATGAGAATATCAAAAGACAACACCTGATCTGTAATTGTGAAGAAGAATAATCCAGTTAAACTACAACTTTTCGTGTACATTTTTTATAAATCTAAAATTACAGTGGCAATATGATTAAAATGATTTAATATTGATTAGTACAACGCCAAATTGCGTTTCAGTATAAATAAAATCTAGAATGGATAAATTTTTACCTCATCAAATAACAATAGTCTAGTATGTTTACTTCTCACCTAGCCAGTTCTTGTTGGAAATCTATCTATGTCGAAGACTATATTCATAATACAAAGGTATCCATTAGGGAAGTATTGAATTGTGTTTCTTTCTGATTTCCAGTTTATTCATAAAATATATTTGCTAAATGGTTTCTGGAATGGACCTTCTTTTTCCCCAAGATCTTCAGAGTAGATAAACTTCATTTAAATCAGTTTGTAGATATCGATTACCAATAATTTTCTACTACTTACCTGTATAATATATGCATCCATCTCTTAAGTTATCATCTGTGACTATTCCTTGTTCATGTTACCTGGTAATTCACGTAAAGGTCTCTAAAATAATTCACTGATAAACACTTATTACTGATTATTCATTTTGCTCTAAAACTAAATTAATATCAGTTGTTAGATTTCAATCGTGTAGCGACTACGTTTCTCCTAAAAATGAAAAGTAATGTATTTCATCCTGGAAGTGATCAAAAAATGTATCGCAGTGGCTAATCTGCTACTAGTATATTTATCGAGTGCCGTTTTCATTCATATCAGCTGGTGGAAATTTTTTTTTCTCAATCTGTTTTCAATGTTAATACGACTATGTTGATGCTAAGGTTCCCAACCATAATCACTTGGTCCGTTGAAAATATCTATTCGTCTTAAATGATAACCAAAGAAAAAACTTGTTAATTTCACTGACGTGATTTATTCATTTCTGTTAATTAGTATTTAGTATGTCAGTAGCTATATTTCAACTTCCATCATACCATACACAATGTACATGTTCCTAATTCATATGACATCTTGTTTTAAAATTACATAGACTTTATAAAGTCCTCAAACTAGACGTTTACTTAACAATTTGTTCAGAAACTTTCAAATAAGTGCATAATATATTTAGTATGATTGTTGCATCTTCTATAAAAAGGTTAATTTTAAAGTCGAAACTAATCACTTCATCACTAAATGGCTTTATTGTACAGCAAAACGTCGAATTGAGGGATTTAACTTGACACACTAATATTATTATTCACTGAACAATTATTTCAGAAAATCGTTTCATTGTGATAAACACAAATGAACAGTCATTAGATAATATATAACTTTTACTTTTATCCTTGGTTAATCATTCGTCGTTCTATGAGTAACTTAGTCAACAGACTATCGTGATTAAATATTTTAAGCATAAGTGTCAGCTTAAATTCTTTTAATATATGTTCATACATTCTCAGTCAGTTCTATCATTTGAAATCTTTTACATTAAGATCCAAGGATCGGTCCCGCCACTTTAGTTACGTTATTGAATCTATCAAACTTGCATGATCTTTTTAGAAGTCTGATTAGTTCAAATCTATTTACTATGTAACAATTTCTTATTTGAACAGGTTGAAGATATAGATCCAGACGAAACAGAGTGTATTCTGGCCAATCTCATTCATGAAGTAAGTAGCATCTAATACCATAATTCGAATTTTTTCATCTTGTTTAATATATAATCACTTCAAACGAGCTTTTCGAAGCAAAATTCATGAGTATAATTAAGAACTGTGCTAGCTAATGGGAATGTTTCATTTCATCTCCATCCACGGAGTCAATATGAGTGGGAGCTCAACTTTCATCTAAACCTTACATGTGACGAAATCATATGACAGTATTTAAATGGTGATAATGATCTTTTGCTGGCATATTTCAATCGTCCAGCAATGAAATCTTCGTCTTCAGAATAATTTCCTACTACTTTTGCAGTTATTGGATAAATAATTAAGCGCGACAGGGAATCCTAAACCAAAACTTCGTGCTTTTCGGTACTTATCACCATGGTGTACCCGTTATCTTCAGAAGACAGGTGCTTCCCAATGGGTTCGACCATATGTCATTCAGCTTCCTAGTCTGAGACATTACCACTGAGCTATTCGGGCTGCGACTGACCTCCTGTAGGACTGAGATATTTACGACTGATTGATCACTGGGTAGTGGACAATGCCATGTTTGTTTAGTTCTTTTAGCGCTGATCGAATTTTACCGATTGGGTTATAATATGGGTGACACGGAATCAAATTTGCCAGAGGGTGTCAGCCCCTTCGATATTACACATATACCTTAATAATGAGTGTTAAATAATACAAACCCTAGGTCGGGATTTCCTGTTGACTACCTCTAACCAACTAATACCTCAGCATAGTGTACACGATATTCAGTCACCTAGACTAGTGGTCACATTGCTATCGATGGAATTTACTCAGCACCAAAAGGACTAGAAAAATATAACGTTAGTCACTACTCAGTTCATCTAATTGGTCTCCTAAAATGATATTATCTACTCAGATACCTAACATACTCCAAGAAATATATTGGTTAATGACACGAAAACTTCGAAACAATCAAGAACTATCATTATATACCAAATCCATAATATAGCCATAATTTATCTTCGATAAAATATAGTCTATATCCCATTGAATAAAAGGAAATATTATATAATTCCGTAACCAAGATTTGTATACTCGGCTTTAAGTCACATCTTTCTTATGATAATCCATAATGCAAACTAAAGCAGACGACATGAATTTCGAATCCCCAACTCAATGATCAGTACTAGGCTGCTGTAACTGCGAAGACAGCTTTTGATTTATGATGTGAACTACCTTTATTAGTGTTTCTGTATTCATGTCACAAAAATTTAAAAACATTCAAATCAAACATCTATTTCTCAAATTTCCAAAATTTAAGCAGAAGTTACATGGCCAATTAAGTACAAAATACCTAGTTTTATATTCTCAAATCAGTTAACTCATCTATCAAAAATATCTTTCACAAGGATATTAGGTTTCCCATTTCAGCCATGTAAAAATACTGTTATCACAAAATTAAGTCTGTTGTCGTACAAATCACACAGTCAAACTTAAGTGAATACCCAAATTGCATTTGATTGAGTTCTAGACTTGATAAAATTATCTACTTCTAGGTCAAATGGTCCTTACTGGCGCAAACATCGTATTTTAAGATTTGTTCATAATTATCGTACACCCTAACATCTAATACAATGAATGATACTTACTGAAGGGTAATATATTCTTGTTAGGAAATGTTAACACATTGATAATTTAGTATTTAATGAGAATCTTGAATTGATCGGTTGCGCGTAATTTGAGCGGCCTGAATATTTCCATAATAACACCTCTCACTGCGAAGCTGAGTAGTGTGTATACATTTAAAGAAGAAACATGGGTCCGTTCAAGATAGCAGATACTGTTTACTGATAATTTTAGCGATAAAACCGACATTACTTGTAGAATAACCCAGATCGGCAACAATAACTCTTTCCTCACTCAGTTTTCGGAAGGAACCACCTGACTCATAACTGTGAAGAATCATTATCTAGTAAAAACAACTTGATATGCAGTTTTATCTAACCAATCCAATGTCAGACGAAACATTCTCAGAATAATGTATACTGATTAATTCGACAACAATACAAATTGCCTATCAAGGTTATCCACACTACGTGATAGGCTGGATGCACTCTGAAGTAGGAGAAACTTCTGTTGCATCGGGCTTAAATTGTTAATTTGTAATTTTAACATTAAGTTTGAGAAGTGAATTTAGAACGTTCTTCCAAATAACCTTAAATAGTCAACGCTAAAACATACCATTTTGTACATTATTTTTTCTTGTTTGTAGGGAAAAATCAAAGGTTATCTGGCACATCAACAACATAAACTAGTTGTTAGCAAATTGCAACCATTTCCTCCGCTTACAAGTAGTATGGCTAGTAGTTTAAAATGAACTTCTATCCATTATACTGGATTATGTCATCAATGTTACTATTTTATACAAACAAATATTTTGTACAAAATTTACCAAATCTAATTGTAAAGTGTATAAATACATTTTTTTCGTGATCAGTGTTCTCTACTATTGTTTGTTACTATAGTTTAGTTGATATCAAAGAAGTGGAATTTAGATTGTTAATTCATGAATTTAAAACCACTTCAGAGTTCACCTCTAAACAATATTTACAAATCAAAGAATCATTCGTGAACTTTTACATGAGTACCACGTAGTATTCTATTAATATTACTGAAATTTTTTAAGGACCGTAACATTGTTTTTACTTTGGATTCAGTGAGAAAAATATTCATTTAGTTTTAATGAATTCTGATGGCAATATTTATGTGTTATGAACATATGTAACAAGACATACTACTCTGATAAGTTAAAGCATCTTATCACTACCATCTTCATTGTGTTTCACTTCACTTACATTAGTGCAACGCTATCGTTTTAATTATTTCAAACAAGTAGTATCATTTATTTGTACATATTAATAAATGTGTAGAGATATGGCTTGATGGTATTAGAATTTGATTCTCAACCAACTGAAATTATAATCTCAGTAGAATTAATCTATCTTGGTTTAGACAACACGGTTCTGTCTGTAACTACAAAATACGTACTGATCTAAGTGCAATGTTTGTTCGTCTGTACTTGATTATATAACAATTACTCAAAATGTATCTTCATAGTTGAAGCACAAAAATTCCCATGATTATTAAACTGGATATTGAACAAAAGCGTGTAAATATTTATGTAAGTATATAATATCCTTTATATTAAACAAAAGCAATAATAATTAATTAACTGTACATGGAAATTCTGTGGATAATATGATTTCAAGTGCATTCAAATATAATAATAAAGTGATTTATGCACTATTCTTCAAAAAAAGTTTCAAATTTCAGTCTATTGTAAGAAATTTCAAAATACGCACCACGCATTTTTAAACAAGATTTAAAACGAAACCAGTCATAATGACTGTCCTTGCATTACGAACAGTGCGGAAGGAAGACATGGGTCGTGTATCTATGTTTAGTAGAGTGAGATCAAAGAAGTGTGCAATTAAATATTCAAAAAGAAAAACACTGTGCACAGCTATATTATAAAAAATATATAGTTACTAGATAATAAGAAATAACTTTTTTTATATATACTATGTGCAGATATTCACAAATGTATTATGAAAAAGTAAAAATGGAGTAAATAAATGATGTACATAGAATGTTTCATCCCTAATATAAATCACAAATCTCTGTATTGCAGTAGAACTTTTGGTTTCCTAGGCAACTCTGAAGAAGATTCTAAAGACTGATGTTGTTGCGTTTGTTGATTACGATCAGCTTCACCTATCATAGAACTGAAGAATTGTTCTCGTAATAAAGCGGATTTACTCATATTCGATGTTTTATGATGGTCGAATATTGGGATGGACTCAGTACAATTACTAGCCATACTATTTATATTATAACTACTATTCGTTGATGGCATAGATTTTTGATTGTTTTCGGATTTTGAACTTGTATTTAACCTAAAAGCAATAAAAAGGTTTAATAAGATACTTTCAGTCGAATTAAATTAGTCTTTGTATAATAATTATTGTTAAATTTCTTATTTCCTACTGCATGACGAAGCCTGTCGATAGGATAAAATTCGATCAACACTAAATATTAGACACTGCTGTAATAATAGTTGTTATTTAGGAATAACCGATGTGTACTTGATCTACTGCAAAACATAGCCTCAATCTATTTATCATAGAAGTATCATGTCTGGCCGCATCATTGACCGATACTGGTTAAAGTCGCCATGGAAACGGAAGTGCCTTGGAGATTGTATATGTATATTTTCTTGATAAATAGTATGTGATTTATGTCCAAGATTCTATTCATTTAAAAATAAATACAGTGAATTATAATATTAAGCCACCCAGCTTACTGACAAAATTTGATTTCGGCACCCCTAAAAAAATTGTTATTCGGTAAGTTGTCAACAAATAACCTTAAGGAATAACCAGACAAAGTATTACGTTTCTAAGATAAATTAATAAAGCAAACAAGATGTTTCAGACTAGGGTGACTGACATCAGTCAAAGTACTTAATTTTAACAGAAAATAATATTCACAAATGCAATTAACTCCAGAATTTTTCTACCATCTATTTCTATAATATTCAGAATAAAGGGTTTTTAGCTTAGGAGTTTGTATAAATTGTTAGATTTGGTAGTTTTGTATCACTTGTTAATCTTAGACAAGAAATCAAAGCCCAAAATCGTGGGCAGCTTTTTTGTTTTAGTAAGACACTCCTCACTGCACATACACGGTCCCACTACACACCGAACCTAGAACTATCAAACCTCGATGCGATTTGTTTACCTGCAAACCTTTGGGGTTACATAATAGAACGAAACAATTGTCTAATAATCGTTGATTTTGTTAGTTAGGCTCAATCCGTGATATGAAACTACAGACGAAAATTTATTTGGCTATTCATTTTTCACTAAATTTCTCTTAATCGAAAGGTAAATTTGAGGAATACGGATTCATTCTCTACAAAAAATGCTAACAGTTAAGGATGAAAAGATATGCTGCTCAAATGTTCCTCTCATACTATTTTCCAGTTAAATGGTCTAACAGACTGCTATCTAACTATGACCAAATAAAGTATATTTCAGCCTAACATTTTACCATCACCTAGTTAATTCTGTCATACTTTAACAGATCACTTACTCGAAAGATTTTCCTGTATGTTGGATATAAGTAGGGTTGTTAAAATATTTGGAATTATTCAATCCAACGGTACCACTACTGGTAGGATTATCATCACATCTATTTGTCAATGGATTGTTTATTATTTGAGTAGATTGGCAACTATTAGCATTACTACTAGCCATACTATTCAAAGCACGTTGCACGTATATTGGATCATTGAGTTTATTGTAACACAACGATGAGGATCTGGATAGACATGGTTTCGGTGAACTTGTACTGATATTAGTTGGTGCTAAACAAAACAAGAAAAATAAATTAAATTTTCCAAATTATATGAATTATCCAGAGTTTTGGGGCAAGATACACTATTGAAAAATCAAAATTTTTAAGAGTCATGAATACTGTACAGAAAATCTAGCTAGTCAAATTAGGATACCTTTGGGCGCTGCATAGTTTGCGAACAGTTTATTTTAGCATGATCAGAATTAACAAACAGTTTAAGACAAATGAAATCATTTCTTATTGTACAGTTCACTTCTGAGTTAGCTGTTAAAACCCGATGATGATAATAATAATAATACCTGAATATGATTGTCCAACTCATTCATTCCAGTAGTAGATCTCATCATTTGATTTATCTACTTCAATTTCAGAAAAAAACCATAGAAATTCCAGTTAGATAAATCATGGTTAGTTGGATCTAACATTTCAACTGATATACATCTCTATCCCAAATTACATAATCTCTGTCACATAATAAGAAGCTGATATCAAGTTGTTTTCTTTTTTCTATTTGTTTATATTTCAAAACAGTAAATGATATAATAGAAATAAAAAAAGGTAACTTACTGTCTGATATAATGTTTTTATGAATTACAATATTTGATTCATCAGTAGTTGCTTTAATTTGTACAATCTCACTAATTTGTTTTTCGCATCTTTCTGTTGATGGAACATTTTGACTATTCATACCATTACTACTACTATTACTACTACATATTGAACGATCATGTGAATCATCGTTACCTAGAAAGTATTTCAAATAGAAGACAAACAAATAGTAATGTGTAGATCGTTAGAAGTAAACTAATATATATATGTATATATATCTATATTCTTGGTGGTAGTTGAACTCCACTTAATTAGCCTTTAAACAACTATTTCAATATTCTACCATCTAGACTGAAAAGATGTTAGCTAGCGGCTAAATGTACTCTTTATTTCATGTATAAACAGTTGTCAGATGAATAAAGAATATATGAACCATCACAACTATCTATCCAACTTAATCTTAATTCATTGTTACGAACAAAATCTACTTGAATGAGACAATAGAAAGGTAAGTGATTGAGAATTTAAACTCAAACTTACTTAATTGAGCATGAAGTTAATACATAAACCAGACAAGTTTTTTTTAAATATAACCTTTAATGTTTGATTTCAAGTCGTTTCATTGCTCTTACGTAAAGACAATGCTAGCAGATATATACTGACAAGACAGATAAAAATGGGCTATTTCAGTTAAATGTCATAAATTAACTCTGTAATCGCCTTACATAATTATGAGAATAATTAGATTTCAATGAATTGATGTTGAAATGAAAGTCTATCAAGACCTTCAGTTGTTATTATCCTACCTGACAGTGCGATTAGTAATCATTATCTTTGGAGTCAAAAATCGAGAAATAAACTTGTTGATAATAGGCCGGCACACAACTTGACATAGTGAAATCTCAGTTTTATGTATTGAGATAACTGATAAAAATATCAAATATGTGGTGTTTTCCCATTTTGAACGGCGAACTGACATTAGTTAAACCACCACAACCCCGCACTCTGGATTCAGGCCCAGGGAGAATTCGTGACCTGTAGAGTTCAAACATCTGGATTATGAGACAAATATCCACCACAGGCGACGGATGAGGATTGCACAATATCGTGAATTGATTGAATTTACCCATTATCAGTGTTGGATGCCGGCCCAATGGTTTAGAGGTTAAGTGTTTGCATGCGTGAACGAATGTCTTTGTTTCGGTTCTCGGGTGCAGAGTCGTGGATGCTCACTGATCAGTAGCCCCATACTAGGACGAAATGGTCATCTAATGGTTTCACATTTCCAGTAAAGGTCTAATTAAGACCAGTTCGTAGTTTAAACTATGAAAATACTATAATCTCCTAAAATCCCTTATACTAAATATGTGTTCCTCCGAATGTATATCTACTCAAATGGATACGTAAATCAATGAGCGTATATATATATATATATAGTGATTATTGGGAGATTTTGGACTGACTCAGATTCATAAGTACGCAACTCGAAACAAAATGGTTCAACTTAGGCGACAATACTATTTAAAATATAAAAAACTAAGAAAAGCAGTAAAATAAACAAAAAGAGACAGCAGTGAATAAGAGAGGAGATGGATATGAAGTGATAAAATGTTCTAAGTTTCGGAAACAAATAATAAGCTCTTCTGTGTCTAAGGTAACCGGATCCAAACTATATAAAGAATATCATAGTTCAGTCCCATGTCTTTATTCTTTACCAAACATTATTCTACTCTAGAAACATCATATATCAAGTTAGACGGTGGCTTAAAATTTATAATATATAATCTGTTTATTTCAGCTGAAGTAAATAATTTGCATTTTTTAACTTGTTTTGTCTATCCACAGTTTCGATGAAGCTTGATCATCCATAAATTGATCATTCTGTTACATGTATTGATAAATTAGCCTAGGATTTGTAATTAAATATTGATTTTGGTTATATTGAATATAGATCGTTTTACAGAATACTTCAAAACTTCTAATATCAAATCTGTTTTATTAAAGAATAATGGTACTTTTGAGAACTACATTTTCCTAACTTACTCAACCAACCATTTGTGTTATTTAAATGAAATTTCTTTTCATTTGTACTTATATTTTCTGTGAAATTAAGAATATGTTTATCGATTCGGTGTGGAAAATGATGAGTATGATTAATTAATTGAGATTTTACACCATTTGAACTTGAATGAGAAGATCGACCAGAAATTGGTGAATCCATACATTCAGTATATCTATCTGAGCTTAATCTTGATTGTGGTCGTTTCTCTATACATGGACTCATTGTTAAACCACCGGAATTTGGTCTTATAGGTAATAAGAAATCATGATTTCCAAATTGTTTATGATTTGAACTTTGAGGAGGAACAGCTGAACTTGGCTGAAAGGTTAAATTAAAACTTAAATATAATTGTTGATAATGAAATGAATTCATCTAAAAACATTTTTCAAAATGTTAAAAAAAACATTAATTTATTAGTGGAAATAGATTTTAATTAATGACTTTTAAAGGGTTGAATGATCTACAGTGGTTTTGTAGTCAAAACACATTTTTTTTGTAAGTTTGAACCCCTCTCCATCCGTTTTGGTTAGGTTCTAGTAGCTTTATTAGCTTTGGCATCAAACATATCGCTCAAAACTGAATGGTTAAAATTTTACTTCCTAAATTAGTTACACTGTTTATTAATACAGATAGTTTTATGACAAAATAGTGTCATAAAAAGACGTGTTAAACAATGATTGCATAGTCAAACGTTTTTGGTGCTTCATCAGTAAATTTCAAACCACCCATTAAGTAACAAAATGAATCCTCTGAAAGGTGAGTTCTCAGAGTTTCTGATAGAGAAAAAAATACAGTGAATTAAGAAGTCAGTCAAGTGTAAAAGTATAGACAAATACTTATTAGTCATAGTCAATAAATTTCATGCCAATATCATAGTTACAATGTATAATAACCGAATAATTAACAAGCGATACAGATTTAATTCTTACTTAAGTTAGATCATTAATTAAAGTGTCAAGAAGTATTAAACAACAACTATCCAATTTACTTTCCTTGAATAAGTTTTCAACTAAAATATACTTCTGCTGGAAGCTGTCGTTGAAATTATTGCATTTCTATTGATCTTTAAATTATTATTATTATTATTATTATTATTATTATTATTATATTATTATTATTATTATTATTATTAATGGCTTTATTCAATATTATATTTTGGTACAATAAAGAATTCTCAGTACAAAGTATTTCAACAAGTTTCCTTTTCTTATTTCTTGATCGATCCGGATGGTAAACATTGAGTGATTGCCAGTTAGACGTTAGCAACTCAGGAATCGACATCTGAATAATGTTTATTCATGTCAATGCATATTGCCAGCCACCGTAATATCTCTGATTGTACTTTTCTGTAACTTGTACAGCGAAAAGTCGTACACTTTTCATTAACGCGCCTGAATAGGTTCTACGATTTATAGACATAATGATGTCTTAAAACAAAAAAAAATCAGATAAATTTTTAAAATATCTAGATGACAGGAACAGGTTACCCAAATATTCAAACAGGCCGCCAATAGTTCCCCCAAATTCGAATTCGAAACCCATGTTCAATAAAGATGTCAATATGAATGAATATCGGCACAGTCACATTATGCAGAACTATGATATACAAAACTTCGACAGATACCTTTTATATATCAACCAACACATCATTATGACTAGTGAATGAAACTATTTGAGTTTATAGTTGGGTCAAATTTAGGATTAAAAAAGTGCATGCAACAAAGAACTAATACTAAGTAAAATATACACAAATGGTAGATAAATATGGAAGACTGATTATAAAGTAAAATAATCTTTTATTGATGTTTTCTAAGTGACATGATATTCACAGTACTATTTATAGCGCGTCAAAGCTGGCCTAATACTCTGGATGCAACCACATTATCCTTTTGATTAATTTAAAATATTTCGTCAAGAGTAATGTTTGTGAAGAATAATATAATTTGGGAACATTTTTCATCAAGCATGATGGTAATTACAGAACTAGGGGTTGATAAACAACTCTCCAGTTCTTAGATCGGAGATTACATAGAATTTGATGTAAGAAAGGAAACTTGCGTTAAGTAGTTCAAGACCACTGGGTACAGATCTCTAAAACCAGTTCTTATCCACTTTGACACTTTTCAAAAAAGTGTAGGAGCAATATCAATGAAAATAGAACCCTGATTTTTTCTCCGATTCAACAATGAGAATAATATTGGCGGTTGCTTAGACCATAAATCCTGTTTTTGTCTATACTTATTAAGACTAAAAAAATCGCAGTTATTTATTAATATTTCAGAATCCAATTAATCATCATAGTCAAACAAATAAATAACAATCATGTACTAACTAGTGATAAACTTTAATGAAAACTTCTGAAGTTCAAGTAAAAAACCATAACGGATTGTGTTCAATCACATTAGAGTGAAAGAGGTATCTGTCAATGGCACTGAATGATCGTCAAGTTACACCATAAACCAACTGTTACCAGAATTATAAACTATTAAATTTCAAACTCAGTGATCTAAAAGCAACGCATTCGCCATTAGCCTGATGTTTTTTCAATTTGATTCTTTGTTTGACTTGAAGGATACACACTATTGGTAAGTTCCAAAATAGAATGAAACAAATAATTAGTGTTTTCTGTTTCTCCATAATTGATTATCGAAAATCAATGTAAGAAGAAAACCATCTAAAATTGAACACATCTCAACAATAAACTAACAAACCAGTTAATTAAGTTTACTTTATAGAACAAAAATAATAGCAAGGAATATTTAGTAGATAAACTAATATTAACAACTGACTCGTGTGTTAGTTCCACTTGAATCATCTAAATACTTTAAAAATTGTTTTAAAGCTTCCTGACTTTGTTCATCTGGATCACGATCATAAATGGACACTGAACCAGGTACAAGACGTTTATCGCAACGATGCAACATTGACGCTGTTTGTCCAATGGTTGGTATTGATCTGTAACTATCATTTAACCAGGAAGATTGAGAATGCAAAGTCGAAACTGTGCTATAACCTGAAAAGGGAAGGAAAAAACCATATACTGAAAATAAAATGATTAAATGCTAATGAGAACTCTTTTTATGATCTGCCGACCATTTGAATTGCTTCAAAGTAGTCATCATACCAGTCAAATACAAGTGTTAAAAACTCTTAATTTATCCCATAAATTTTCTCAACTCTAATTTAATTTTACAGAAACATCGAGGTACATGTGTTCGGATATTGACATGAAGGTAATTTTCCCTATAATATGACGTCAGACAGAAGACTAAAAATAAGAGAACTCTGCATAAAGTGTTCTCTTGGTCTAGAATTTCTCATTAGTATATAAATACAATACTATTTAAGAGTAAAATTGGAACTTTCAAATTTTCCAATGAGCTTGATATCTCTAGAACATTAGATCAGATTTAAGTAGTCCACACTTCAAACTTCAGTCTACTTGTGACTGATCAAGTCAATCGATGTAGGAAGAATAATAGGAATTGGAGAGGGAGGTCGATTATGAATACAGTGGTCTTGAATGCTGTTAGAGTTATGAGGGGGGTTATCACTTCCCGGTCGCCCACACCGTGGAAGGGTTGTTCTGGAGGTATCTGAAAAGGAAATTGGATTAGAGGTGGTCTTAGTGACCTGAGAGAGTGACCGCAGTGCTCAAGGGACAACTGCTTGAGGTCACTCACACATGACCTTTTTGTGAGTTATATTTGTGTTAGCTCCGTACTTGTTGATACCTTACCGCCGGAGACGGATATTCGTGGGATAAGGAGAGGTATGCATTTTTAGGGTCGACCTTTTCTAACCCCACCCCTCCTTGTGGGTAGGCAGCATCGCTGTCATAATGGTTATCTGAAGGAAACACCTTACTGCTGTCACACTTCTGTACAGTCAGCAGTACGACTTCGCCTTCGGACTTTGGGTTTGTTGCTTTCAGTCTTACCGCTCTTCAACTGACCTGTCTGGCATGGTAGGACCTTGAGGAACGGTTGTTCCAGCCAGTACAACTCGATTAGTTCATCACAATAGGCAAGCGCGACCACCACGTCAAGGTAGCAAAAACGGTCATATACATAAATATGACAACTTTATTTCAATAGTTGAAATCATGAGTCAATTGAAGCTAGGCCACCATGGAAAACCTGGAAGCACTGGACTGCCGTCTCGTCTTAGTATGGGACTTCTCAGCAGTGCGCATCCATCTTTTTCCTTTGACAGAATATCACACTAATTTTATTCAATAATCAATGTTTTCAGTTATCAATGCATTCGAAAGTTATTCAATATCAATCAAGAATCAACAAAAAAGCATTTCTTTTTCTCAAAAATCAAATACTATTTTAACATGAAAATATTATACCACTCAAAATATATCAAGCGAATAAAACTTACAAAAAAAATTGTTTTAATTAGTTCAGCTTACCTAAATTATTTTTATTGTATTCAGCATTGTGTGGAAAATGATGCTAACAGAAGAATTCAGCAAACATTTTATTAAAAAGAAAAAAACAACCAAAAGATTGAGTATTGAATGATTAACTAAGATGGTTAATAGAAAGGTAAACAAAAAAATCTAGTGAGTTTTTTTTTTCTCTGTAAGATCCAACCCAAAGGAACAGAACTAGTGAAACAAGTCCAATATTACATTTTTGTATTGAATACTGATGAATTAAACTATTATTGAAATTAATATAAGTAAGTGTAAATGACTATTCATTATGATATGATTACCAATTTTCTTATTCTTAATTTAATATTTATTGCCCTATACATAGTCGGACTTTTTTTGTTTGAATATCTTATAATATAAATGATAGCTTAAAGTCAATTATCTATTTAACTAGTTGGTCAATTGTTCTATCTTAAAATTCAGTTTTCTTTTGTGGATTAGATAATCGATTTTATACCCAAACCCCCAAGTGTTCCTGGGACGGACGAAGGTGGGGAGAGTCAGCTCTTCCTCTCGAAATGCTCTTATATGGCCACTTGCATACAACGACTGCAAGGAAAATTCTACTCACCGAATTCTCGCAGCGAGGGCGTTGTTTACTAAATTGAGAGGACGGAAAGCGAATGTCCGACTGTTGGGAATGTTAGATCCCCAGAACTCACTTGGTAAATACCTTGATTTTGTAATTTTATTTTGAAATTTTGAATTTCCTGTTTTCCAGCCAAAAGCGTTCATTTTCACCTTCATGTCGTATTTCCCACTGTGAGAATGTTAAACGCTATTGGTTCGTTGTATCTTTTAGTATGCTATTTTGTAACGCTTCTAAAGGGCAATTTTATGCTGTATATATACGTTTGATTTGTGACTTTCGTGGTTGCTCGTGCTTCTAGCTGCTTACAGAATATATTTCCCCGTTTCAAATTTGGACTTCTCTTTCTAGTTAGCAGGGCTGGGACGCATCGGAATACCTAGCTTATTAGTCTTTGGTCACAGTCTTTGTTTCTTTCGCAGACTAGGTGAACTCGTAATCGCTTTAAACATAGCAACGGCACTTTAACCGAGTTGCTGGACACGGAGGACCTACCTAGAGGAGTTGTAAAACACTGATTCCAAACCAATGGTGTACATGGGCTCCAAGATCCTAAAGAAACAAATGGCGCATGAATCAATTATTGGCCACTGGCTATCATGGGACTGCATCTTGTAACGTTGCTCCACTACCTTGTAGATTAGATCTTTAGGTCAAAGGCTTGGGGTGTGGCCCGGTAGGAAAACAACCTGCTTCGGTTTGGGCACCCGGGTAGTATCCCAACCCTTACAAAAATCGAATGATTTGTGTTGCGAATATATATTTGGTTCCTTTTTGTACCAATGTTTATGTGTTTAAATAATAAATGAATAAATCTATACCCAAATGATCGGTCTGTCCTACTATAGTAATCTCATTATTTAATTTGATGAATTAAGCTAAATTACAACATAAATTATGACTCAGTATGGAGTAGAAATCAGAATCTGTGCTTGATTTCACAGTGTGCAAGTTATTTCTCCTGACCACTGGAGATCCAATGATCACTACTGTCAAAAATCCAGTTATTTTGCAATGCAATTTGACTAGTCATGTGATTTTTTTCAATGAGAAATTCGCTCATTATTCCTACTCACATTAACTCTACAATAAAACTGATAAATCAATTTCAGTGCTTGCCACTTCTAATCATACAATTACGATTTTCATTAGCGTTTTTTGAGATTATTACGACCTAAATTTGGCGCTCACAACGGACTGATATCCCCTCGTTTTCATCAATTCTGTAGCTGAGATCAGTTTTCAATTTAAAAAAGAAATTATCTTCCGACTAAAATAAATCTTCATAAAAACTCATACATGTGTAAAGTTATCTGACTGTATTTACTTACTTTATTCAATGCTGCCCGAGCTCGTTGAATAAGCGTCAAACGTCTTTGACTTCTATAAATGAGTCAGAAATCAAGGTAGAAATTAAACAAAATAGCAGAATCAAATAAATCTGATGGGTGATATATATATATATATATATATATATATATATATATATATATATATAATTTAAATTTACTTATACATTTGGTATGATAAAATTATTGACCTGTGTGTGTTTATGAATACGATATCATGAGAGAGATAACTGTATGAGACCATAGATTATATAAATACACTATACAGATTATAACTGAAGCTATACCGGTAAAACTATACTTGATCGACGATGATAAACCACTCTATGAATAATGTTAAAGTGATTATATTTTGTTTTAACCAATGAATAAACAGTCAGTGAAAATCATGAATTTATCGTCAAGATACTAATCAAACATGAGTGTGTATGGGGTGGTGCGAAAATTGAAGAATCACTTTTTTGAACCTGATTGTCTAGTCACTACTATGTACTTCTAGCTGTATAATGTGTTTTATATCACAAATTGTTTGCAGGTTACATCACAAATTGCAAAAATTTGATTACACAAGATTTCAGTAATCAAACAAATAAAAAAAATTTTAAATAGTGAAAGAATGTCAAGTGTTCTGTAAAACCGTTTAGAATAGGCTGTGAAATAAGATTGAAATACAAATTAAATAATATAAAGACATTTTTTTCAAATGACAGACCAGTGTTCAAGTGGTCAATACACTTTAACTCTACTAATTAAGGAAATCTGTGACAAAGTACAAATTCGTATATTCTACTTCAAGTTATATATTTTATTTGAAAGCTACCTGAACTGTTTAGGTTTGTTAATTAAAGTCAGTGTAGCGATGTTTGAACGTATTACCTGTTACTTAAAAGATTAACGACCACAAATAAACACTGACTTAATGTTTTCTTCTTTTTTTTGTTTGTTTGTACTAAATACTGAACATTAAGTAGAAATATTCAAATTATGACATGCATAAGCATTTACAATCAGCATTAACACAATACTGTACAGCTGAATAGATAAACAGAAAATATCAACATAATGCAGTTGTACATGCACACAAACATATTTATAGCTTTATTTTACTTAGAAAGTAAAACAAAATACTTCTGTAAGCAATTTTATGTTTAGGAACTATTACGTAATACATATTTCAGATTAAAAAGCTTTAATATTGATTGTTCCAACTTAAAATGTATACTGAAAACAAATTGAGTAGTAAGTTATTCTTTAAACAAAATATTATGAATAATTAATGTTCATAGTAGATTGGGATTTGATCGATGTATTCATTTTGTTTTACTGAATCATCAACTTATTCAAATATTCTAAATAACTGCCAATTAATTATTGTAATAATCATGAATTGAATAAGGTGAATCTGTAAACGGAATTTACCCCAAATGATAATTATGCCTTCAAATAGATTAATGAGGATCGTATTATCCTATTTCTGACTACTTGATATAAATGTACTAAGAAATTGTATGGAAATAGATATTAGAATGAAATCTATGGCGTTGATGTAGTCTACAATCTAGTATAAGACACTTAATTCATACAAAGCAGTGACTAAAGCTTTCGATTTTCAACCCACCTACGCTATTCCATCATGAACTTATGTTTAGTATCACTAGCCATAAAGGAAAAGGTATGGCTAAAATACAGAATCCATGATCCTAACGTGATCATTAAGTGGCGTTTATATTATATATATCCTCAAAATTTTCTATTCCCCTTCTTCCATAAATCATCACAAATCAATCTGAAGTAACTAAGACGATCTAGATCAAGGTTCATAAAATACTCAATATTTTCTTATAAATAAGCCAGTTCTATATATGAAATAATAATTGTGCATATAGCATAACATGTGTTTACAGACAAAGTGCATTTTATATAAGTAAAATGTGCAAATTTGAGGTAAAGCAAGCAGAATATAGTTTCAATATTTTTTGAGCGTTCTCCCTATTACTTACTCCAAAAGCAGTTGATTAGTCAAATCACTAGAATGAATAAAATGTAATGATTGACAATTTTTTAAATCCATCCTTAACCAGACTGACCGTTTTGAAAATAAATTACTATGACAAACTTCAAGAAAACTGTTAACCAAAGTAACAAAGTCAACGGAACGACTTGTCTAATCTTCACTTAACTAATGACTCATGTATAGATCAATGTCACGAAGTCTGTAGTAAGAATCTCTAATCTATAAAATTAATCGAGAACTAACTACAGATATATGAAAATTAAACAAAGAGTATTTGATAGAGATCATGAGCCGATTGATGTTAGACCACCGCTGGAAACCTGAAAGCACTGGACGGCCGTTTCGTCCTATTGTTGGACTCCTCAACAGTGCGCATCCACGATCCCGCTCGCGGGATTCGAACCCAGGGCCTTCGACCTCGCGCGCGAACGCTTAACCTACTGGACCACTGAGCCGGCATCCAATAGTGATAGTGTCTAACATCAACCAATCCACGAAATCGAGCGACACATCCACCATTGTTCTCAGTGAGGAGTCCCACAATAGGCCGTCCAGTGCTTCCAATTTTTCTATGGTGGTCTAGCTTCAATTGACTCATGAATTCAATTATTAGAAATACCATAATATCCACAAAACCCCTTCTGATAAAAATCTTATTGTTACGTCCTCTACTCGATTAAGGCAGAATACGATATACAACTAACAGTACTTGAATGTGTATATCCCCACAGTCACAAATCGGAAGACGGAAAAACCAGTGGATGTGATTATCGGGTAATAATCAAAAATGTACAGAAAAACCTGAGTATTTATAGTGATTAGCGTTAGCTGCAACATCATTATAGTTCATCCAATGCGCAAGAAGGTAGGTTATGCTACCGTCTAATCGTAGCGTGCCACATTGATATTCTAGAATGCTCCATTAGGCTCTAATTAGATGGAAACTCTTACGTCTCTTTTCAAAACCTCTGGAGGCTTTGTTGTGCTTTTTGAAAGCTGTCGCAGCATTTATAGACACAGAATATATCATTGATCAATAATAAAGTGAAAAATACAGAGAAAAAGTCCAAATATATAAAATACTATTCACTTCTAGTATCATTTCCCTTCTCTTAATTAAAAATAACGAATAATTACTGTAAAGTAATTCAGTAGATCTTAATAATTTCACTTCTTAAATCCTGGAGCAATTATAAATAAAGAAAAGAACACAGAGATAACAGAGCACACTGATTCAAATAACTGATAGCTTAATTTATGTAATAAAATGTAAAATTAATTTAAATGGAAATTAACTTGTTTAATTAACAACATTAAAAATACCTTTTAGATGATGAACCATTACGATATTGTTCCATAACTTTTTCTTCCAGTTGTTGTTTTTGTTTATGCATAGATAATAAACGTTCTCTACAAAATAGAAAAGGTATAGGATTTTGATTCTTAACGTTTTAAAGTGACGCTATCAAGTATATATATATAAGTTAGTGTTGTTGATAACATACCTAGATTTAGTGTATCAATAGAGAGTGATAATAACATAGGATCCGATAAAATAGTGTACCATTTTTACTGAGTACATGTCCATGTATTTACAACTGATTGATCACTGAGTAGTGACCAATATCATGTATGTCAAATCCTTCTTAGTGCTGACCGTATTCTATCGATCAAATTGCAATTCGGTCACTAGTCTTGGAGATTCAACATCTTATGAACTATGTCGAGATGTGAACTAGTGATTAGAGGTAGTTAATAAGAAACTCTGGGTCTAGGTTTCGTGCTTTCGTGATTTACATAACTATTATCAGAATGGAGATTTGTGCAGATTGTAGTAACTTTAATAGCTGAATTCTAGCTTATATGGACTTATGAATTCAACTATGAAAATTAATACAGTCTCTACAAATTCCAATTCTGATAATAATTATGTAAATCTTTATCCCTTTAACAACTTTTTTACACAGTTGAAAGATGTAGCTACTGAAATAATTTCATATTTTAAGTGAGATATTAAAGGTCTCTTTCAATCATACATTTATTTTATCATTTAAATCTCTGCTAACAAATATACAATTCTATAGTCAGATTTTAAACTGATAATCAATATCAGAAGGGTTATTATAGTAATTTCAATTGTTGAAATCATGAGTCAATTGTTTGTCAATAGTTTGTGGATCTGTGGAAGATCCCTACATTCAAAATTAAAGTAGATCTCATTAATATGAAATTACAATAATTGATTTATTTATAAACGAACTGTTAACGACACAATTACACGTTATGACACTAAAAATAAAAATGAAGTTAACTATTCTTTAAGAAAAATCAATAAAAATTCTAGTACCTAAGTACACCTTCTTGACTGACATGATTTTCACAATTTTTCAAAGTTGATGCTAAAATCTCTTGATTTTGATTCAATAAACTTTGTAATTGGTTAAGTAATGATTTATTTTCTTTTTCATATTTTGAACTAAGTTCTGTTAACATCTATCGTATGTATAAAGAAAATATTAAAAAGGAATATAATAAAATATCTTATGTATAAAAGATTAACTCAATACAATGAATGAAAGAACTGAAATGATTAAATTAATCTTTCTTTTATGAAACTATTCATTAAATATCATCTAACTGAATAGATTCCATGAAAAAGGATCATTGATCAACTTGATTGAATGTATGAGTACACATCTCAAGTAATTAATGCACTTAATTATGCATCAAAATGTACAATTAAAATAGTGTAAATCAATTTATCAGAAATATTGGTAAAAAAAATGGTCATATAGTAACTAAAGATACTTTACTTCTGTCCATCATAACAAACATGTAGAAAAATTCCATAAATAGCAATGTATTTATAAATGAGTTCAGGCTACATCAATTGATGACTACACTAAAAAAACAATAACGATCGTGTGTACCCATACAAAGTAAGTTTGTGTCTCTTAACAAACCTTAAAACAAAAATCAGTGAATTCATGTATTGATTCCTTGTGTTTATTTGATTAGAAATACGTATAACCACCTCATTACTAATTCGATAATTTCACCACATGTGAGCTATGCTTAGAAGATATATGTGTGACTAAATACTGTTGACTTAAACATCCATTAGAACTTCAAAAATTGATGTTCAATAACCATTCAGTACTACTACTGTCGAATACATTCCAGCTTTTGAATAACAGATATTTAATCAACGGTCTATTATACAATTAACCATATATATTCAGATTTCCACCAAAAAGAATATATTGATCACATGTAAAATTTCAACTTGATTTGCCCAGATTTTATAGTTGGATATACACATTAATATCAATAAATTATCCATATTGTCAGATAACAATTCATTTGAACTTACTTGTAATCGTATTTTTAAACTTTCTATTTCATTATTTAATGTTTGTTCTAATTTTTGATATTTTTGTAATTCATTAGTTAATTGTTCTTTTCTATGTTCATTATCTTGTAATTGATGACGAATTTCTCGATTACGTTCTAATATATTAGTTTTTTCATGTCTTTCACGAGTTAATATTGAATTTAAAGAATTTAATTCCGATTGTAAACGTGCATTTTCTTCTCTGAATTGAACAATTTGTTTTACTTCACCTGATAATAAATTATTTATCATCAAATTGTAATGGTATTATTATCATTATTATTATTAATCATATATTTATACATATGCATATAGATTTAAAAATATGAATTTAGTGTTGAAACGACTCAACTAAACCATTGAACACTAATGTTACTTATTGTTGGGGTGATCCAGAAAATTGCTTGCAAAAGACAAGCAAGCATCAGGAAACACTAAGAAGCGTTCCATCCAATCAGCGTTCACTTGAAGTCTTAGCCAAAGATATCAAGGTAGCGAAACGTCACATGTAGAGGCTCTGATTGACTGGCTGCTACACTGCTATTCCAGAATCTTCCAGCAACATAAGAACATTTAAAATATTATAAAAACCCTGTATTTTCTGGATTAAAATGAACTTTGGAATAAACTACTTCTCGCATACTTTGAGTCTTCTCTCTCGTGTTCAGGTCGCTGTATAGTTCTAGCTTGGGGGTTATGGAATAGCTTAGGAGACGAATATAGTATTCAATCCGCAAGACTTATCACTTATATGTTCTAATTTCATGTATATATCTAGTTTGAATGACGAGTAATATATAGATAACTGAACAAATTACAAAACCGATACCTCCATCATATTAAATAAACTGCAAACTGTGATAAATAACAGAATCTTCAATAGAAATTTAGAATAATCAATTTCTAGACTGATAACATAAAAATTTTTTACTTAATATCATTATTAGAATAGAAAGTGAATTCGTTGAATCCGACAAAAGATTGATGTACTCCATTACGATTCATTCAATTTAATACATTTACAAGTCAGGATAAGTAGACAAATTCAAATTTTTCCCTAATGTTGTATAACATTTCATGACATCAGTTTTCATGATATTTCAATATTAATTTTATCCTCAGTGTAATAATTTAGTCAGTACAATAATAAGTTTTACTTTTTTCAGTGTGACATTATTTCAGATTAACATTTTTCCTTGAGAATATTCACCTATCTATTAGTGCTAAATGAGGGTTATAAACCAGTATGATAAATAAAGATTATGATTTGCAGTTGATGGTTAAAAATTAAATTTAAAGTTTTCATCACGAACTGAAATCAGCTAAAATACCAAAACGTTATTTAGCCAAATGGATGAATGAATTTTGCGCCAAAATCTAAGACTTGTTTTCCTAAATCTGATCGGTTCGTTCATAAATTAAAATCTCGTCAACTGATTCGTTTAAAACTACTCACACACCTTGAAGAAATCCTACCATTAATCATCGATGTCAAATGCTATCATAATTTAGCTATTAGTATTGACAGCAGTTAGTCACTTTGATCTTAAAACAACAAAAAAAAACACCAATGAGATCAAAATATGATTTATAACATTTTTTCTATTAAATCTCACCTTTTAAACTACCCCTTTCTTGTTCTAATGCATTTTTTAATCGTTGTACTTCATTTGCTTCAGTTTGTAATTTATTAACCTGTTCATTAGCTAATTGTATTTCTGATTTTAATTGACGTTGAGATTCTTTTGAAGTTTTCAATGTTTCAATTAATTGTTCATAATCTTGTGTTAATTTTTCATGTAAACATTGTAATTGTTCATAATCAGTAGTTAATTGTGATTTAGATGTATGCATTGTATCAAGTACATTTGATAAATGATGAATTTCAGCTAGATTAATAATAAATATATGAAACTAGTAGATGAAAGATGTAAAACACATTAAGAATTAACTATCTAATATAATTACAGTGTTGAAAATGTTGAACTGTTGGAAACGATATATATATCTGAAGATTTTCGCTTTCATTTGTTTGATTCATGAGAAATTCTCTGTATGTTGAATGTTTGGACATCAATTCACTGAGTGGTGAAATTTCGTGGACTGGTTAAAGTTAGACATTGATACCATTGGATGCCGGCTCGGTGGTCTAGAAGTTAGGCTTCATGAGCGACACCGATAGGTCCTGGGTGCGAGTCCCGCGAGCAGGATCGGGAGGGGTCTTATACTAGAACGAAACGGCTTCCAGGTTTCCTATGGTGATCTAGCTTTAATCCACTCATGATCTCAACTATTAAATTCACTAAGTGTTTACTGTCACTTTGATTAAACGTTGATTTTGTCGAGTTCCTTTATGTATATCCCTTAAACTTCTGTTAAGAAAATCAATCTTCCTCACTCTATCAAGTTAATATTGTCTACGAAAAGTCAATCCAAACTAGCTCACTACAACCGTTTTCTATGTAAACACACTTTATCTCGAGTTTAACACTTCATTAACATATATAATCACCAAAAAGACTGTAAAAGCTATTAGTTGTTACTATCACTATTAGTCATTTATTAATTCAACTTCTCCAGTTCAAAACAATATTTCTTTTTAATCAATAAAGCTTAAATTAGCAAATTTTACACACATCTTAATTGTTACCAACTTACTTTTCATTTACTTAATTACATAACCATTTGTTTTAAGCTCTTCCCTCCCTTTCCGAACGATCTGCGACATACATTTGAATATGATATATAATTATAGTATATTGAAAAACTCTTATTTTTGGGTTGTATATTGCTTGGAACGTTATTTTTTTGCTAAAGTAATTAGAATTAAACCTGTACATCATTAAATCCCAGCTTAGTCATCTAGAGGTGAAACATTCTAGCGCAAGACCAAAGGTCTTGAGTTTCATTACCGGTTACTAGGTCGTAGATGCGTCCTATTTAAAGATTTTCATTCTAGAACGAAACGGCTGTCCAATGCTTTTAGGTTGTCAATGGTTTTCTAACTCAGATTGATTCTTGATTTTAGTGTCATGCTAAATTGATGACTAATTTCACTTCTTAAAATAAATGTATGGTAAATTCATGTAGAAGTTTTAGGTATAAATACTATATTTTGTTAATAGAAATGACTGAATGTTATTCCACTCAAAATATTATCTTAATTGTCTTTCTGAATCGATATACAAAAATAGTAAACATAATCTTGTTATAACGATCTAGTTGTTTTTATGATTTCTTGAACTAACCGTGAACAAGTTGGATTGATAGTTGACCCAAGAAACCTATTTCCAAATCTTCCAGTGACTAGATTTTAGAAAACAGATCTGATACATACCTTAATGAATGTATGGATACATGTATTTATTTGAGCACATAAATATTGGTACAAGGGGGCACCAAATATATATGCGCCACACGTTTGGATAAATATATCAGAGAAACCCAAGATATTATTTATACATAAAATATTCAACCAATTCAGTATGACTGATTAAACAAGTATTATAGTAATGATAACTCGTCATAACAGAAATTTCCTAAAGTTCTTATTAGCACTTAAAGCAAATGGTTTTGCGATTATATTTGATCGATTCAGTTGTAAATGAAACGTTCCAAGTAATTTGATGGGACTTACATACCTTTAATTTTAACTAACAAAATTATCTATAACATTGAATATGTTACAAATAGTGACAACGTTTAATTATAAGCCTTAAGGATTATTAATTGAGATCCTATTTTGATTATAAATATTATACATTTGATTGAACTTTTAAAATTCCCATAGAAATACAAACTAATAAAATAGTTGTAGAGAGGTTACTTAGTTGCTGAAGCACTTGATTTTTCAGCATTTAGTAGGGAGTTCAAAGCTCACCTCATTCACTTTTTTCTAAACAGCTAAGTGGAAATATCACTGCCAACAAACATACACACAAAATGTAACGCAAAATCCGATCGATTGTACAAACCAATACATGATTACAGAGTTTTTTATGATAACAAAACGTATATTCTTAATTCCACTGTTAGTTACTATTCATAATATCAATGATAAGTCTTCTAACTGAACGCTAGATTCAGTTCCTAAGCTTTTTTTTCGAGTTTTCTAGATCTTTGCAACAATCAGTTATTGAATTTTCATTTTGTTTATCAAATGACATTATTTCTTAGATTTAAATCGACTTATTCGATAAATTTCCATATCGGTTGACAAAAAATTCAAACATTAATTGAAAAGTATTATTACCATAGTACATTTGTATTAAAACACTCTTTTTCAGCTTTTACTATAGATGATTATTTTGCATGACAACGAAATGTTTTTCATGTAAACGTCTAGGAGAGAGAACAACTCAATTTTAAATAATAACACTTCAAGTCAAAAATATTTAATACAATTATAACAAAATTCCTGTGAATAAAACAAAATAAACATTGAATCACTTACATTCAAGTTCAGTAATTCGTGCAGATAGATTAGAATTTTGACCTTGAAAACTATCTAACTGACTATGTAATGTAGTATTTTCAACTTGTAAACGAGCATTTGTTGCAATTAATTCAGCTAATTGTCGTTGTATTGAAACAGATTGTTCTTGAAAAGTATTAATACGTATTTCTAAGTTCTGATTATTTGCTTTAATATTTTCATTGTGTGCAATTTCATTTTGTAGCGCTTCATTAAGACGTGCATTCTGTAATAATAACAATCATTACTATTATTTCTAAAATATTCTTATGAATTGAAAAAATACATAAATTTTATCGCTTGAGGAGCTTTAAGCGTTGGGGAAGCAGTGAAAAAAGCTATTTCTTCCTACTTCCGAGCATTAAAGAAGTCTATCTACGGATGAATCATCTTCAAATCAATGGATCAGAAGTTTTATAAACAAACATGGATAGTGGTTAGCAGTGGAATCCAGGACGCGCTTTTCGTCCTATCTGAGACTCTTCAGCTGGATGTACCTGCATCTCAGAGTTGATGTTCACTCCAGGAATTGAACCCAGTACCGTTCTCTTCAAACGTCATCGCGTTATCCACATAATTACTGAGTCCTGATAATCACATGCTTGTGACTTAAAGCAATATCGAAGCAGTCCGAACAGGATGCATATATGCCAACAAGAGACTAACCAATTGCAGTGCTAAACATCAATGTGTAGATTTAAGTAAACAATACCAAGTGAATTTAGAGTCACACTTTTTGTATGAGAGCCACTGAGATAACCTGACTGCCTAAACTGAAGCATACAGAGCAGGGGTCATACCAATGACTTATCCAGTGCTTTAACCATTAAACTACCACTACAAATACAAAAATGTTATTGATATTAAAGTATTTGCACAATTTTTTTGAGAATGGCTCAGAGCACAACAAATCTAAGATCATTTTTCTAACTTACAGTAACAATAATGGATTAACTGTTCATTAATATGCATTAGACAAATATATATTATATTTATTTATTTTTATAGTATCATTTCAAATAATAATTCATAAATAACATAATTAACTTACTTCACGTTCAAGTTCAATGACACGATCTTTTATTTGTATTAAAATTGAAGAATTTTCTTTTATTGAATTATCAGTAGTATTATTAGTAGTACAGTTATTAGCTTTTACTTTTTCATATTCTTCTAATTCTTGACTTTTTATTTTTAATTGATTTATTAATTCGGAATTTTTTAATTGAAGTCCATTAATTTGTTGTTTAATTAAATCAAATTCTTCATTTTTAATATTTATATTTTTAGTTAATTGACCAATAAAATTTTCCATAAATGAATCTATTAATTTTGTTTGTCTAAATAATTAAATAAAAAATAGATATAAGCTGAATCATTTCAATCAAATGGAATAAATTGCTTACGATCGTTAAACACAATAATTAGTTTTCATTGTTGAATTCAAGAATTGATCTAAGGCAGACCACCATTTAAAACCTGGAAGCATTGGACGACTGTTTCATCCTGGTATTGGGCTCCTCCCTCAGCAGAGCTCACCAACGATCCCGCAAGTAAGAGTTGAAGCTAGGACCTTCGATCTCGCGTGCAAACACTTAACCTTTGATTACTGAGCAGGTCGCTCAATGCCTCCAAGTTTTTAATGGTAATCGGCTCGTGAATTCAATCTCCTCAAATTCTCATACTGACAATAATAATTATTCAGTTTTTATTACTCTAGCTCTTCAACCTTATATCAACAAAATGAAATAAAAATGTTGAAAGCAATGTCAAAATATCAAATAAATTCTTACTGTGTAATCCCACTACAGTATCTCATAAAAGGAATTTCCAATTATTAACGTTGACTATGCTAATACATATCTATCTGATCACTTAACAGTACTTATGTGGCATAACTGCTTGACATCATGCATAATTTACATGGAGCATGTTTTTAAAATTCACAGGTTCGAAAATTAAACATGAATACTTGAACTGGCTAAAGTTATCCTTAACATTTACAATATTCACTAAGTATGTCTTAACCAACACTATCAGTTATTTTCAACTCGTTTAATAAGTGGCTGGTGTATCCTGCGGTATAATTTTCAGACTCTAATGTTTACTATATTTGTGTTTTGCATCCAAGATTTTAGACTACGCTACACTGGATATGTTCACAACAGATACCTATGGATAATTCTGCTCCTTTAACTCCTGTTTGCTAGTCTTATTAGCATAACAACTAAATTATTCACATTACTTACATATTCATATTGATGTGTCAATCAAGTACATATATTTTTGTATCTGACACATTTACAGAGAGTAGATCTCATCAATTCTTGATAAGCTAAATAAATGGCATTAGCGTTATAAGTAGATGTAGATGGTAACTAACAGGGGAACCCAGGAAGCGTGTTTCGTCCTGTTTTTGACTCGTCAACCGAATGAGTGTACATCTCGGTGTCCTTTTGCATCTGGACTTGAACCCAGTACCGTTCGTTTCAAACGCCATCGTGTTATCCACTTAGCTATTAAGTCCGAATAGCTACTAGCTTGTACAATCGGATGAAGTTTAATTCATCTTCATATTGGTTGTTTGAATCTTCCGATTTGCGTTTAGGACTGCCAAGTGGATAATGCGATGGCGTTTGAAGCGAACATTAATGAGTCAAGATATGAACACACACTGAGATGTACATGCATCCAGTTGACGAGTTCAAAATAAGACGAAACCAGTGTCCTGGATTCCATCGCTAGCCACCTTCTACCTCCGTTTATAATGCTTGTTACCTAAAGCAATATCAAGGCAATCCACACAGGATGCACATATGCCAACACGAGATTGATCAACAGCAGTCCTACACGTTCATGAAAAGATTGAAACAACCCATACAATAATGAACCAAAAGACATTGGCGCTTAGGAAATAATTTTCATTTTATCACATACGCTTAAAATTTTATCATCATCATTATAAATGATGCATTTATTTCAGTATCCAATTGTAGCAACAATAAAAGGTCATTTAATTAAAATTTACTAAGTTTATGGACCTGCTTCGTAAATTTTGTCACGCGCTCACTGTTGCTGATATTGATCGAATTCAATGATTTAACTGATGAAGCGTACACTGAAGACCACAATCAAGTCTCTTTTGTACATAAATCAACGTAACATCATTATTGTCAAAAGCTAATTACCAACTTCAGTCTATACGATATTGATTTTAAAACGAACTAAATACTATACAACCTCTAAAATGGATGTCACAACTATATCCTGCAGTGAAGAAACATTAACACTAAAAACTTTAGTAGAAAGTTGCCGTCCAATTCATGTCTCTGTTCTTATCAATGATCGTATCATTGGTTATTAACAGAATATCTTAAATGCTATATATTCAAACACAACTAAAAATAATCACACTGAACAGATGATGAATTCAACCTTCCATGGAATCATTATTCATTGTGGAAATAGAATCACAATACTAGAAAAAGTATCTACCTAAACAAAGTTGTATCTATTATACTGAATTTTTTTTCTAATTTCAATAGTGAACAATTAATAAAATACAAATTTATTAAACTGTAAAATATAAAATAAGACTCAACTCACTCTATGCTATTTTCTTTAGAACTTAATTCCTTGAACCAATCTTTTGATAATCCATACTTTTCTAAACAAACTTGAATACATTTTAATTCAGAATTACGTTTTTGTAATTGAATTTTTTCCATAATTAATTCGTTACGTAAAGCTGAAACTGTTTTCTGTTCAATATTTACCTAGAATGAATAGAACAAAAAAGCAATTAGTAAATAGTGATAATAATCATAATTCTATATCTGATATCATATGTACTGAAACTTTAAAAGGCTTGTTTTAGCAATTACTACTTCTTAGATTTACTGTTCTCGATGATTTAGTAGTCATAATTCATGCATGCGAACAACACAATATATTAAGTAGTAAATGTATATCTATTGAGTCATTGAATAAGAATTCAACATCGAAAGTCCAACTTTAGATGATTTCTTAAACTATCGATCATAATAAACTACTTATTACTTATGTTGTATTATTCGTCTTTGGAGGGGGGGAGGGGCTTAAATTGTACAAATTGACTAACCGAATTTAATTAAACAAAGTGTACGATTCAAAAAACGGTTACAAGAAAATATTACAAGCCAATGTAACCATATATTTATGATGTTAAGTAATCAGTAAAATTTTATTCTCTTAAATTCTTTAACTCTGTGTATTAAATACCACTTGCGTTTTATGAAATAGGACATTTGAAATTATAAACTATTTCCGAACTTGTATTAGAAGGAATAAATATAATCAAAGGGGTTTTGTGGAAATTTTTAGAAGTTTCACTGATTGAAATCATGATTCATTTGAAGCTAGATCACCATGGAAAACCTGAAAGCACTAGACGGCCGTTTCGTCCTAGTGTGGGACTCCTCGGCAGTACGCATCCACGATTCCGCAACCGCGAGATTCGAACCCAGGACATATCAGTCTCGCGCAAGGCGCCTAACCAACTAGACCACCTCGCAACTTCGTGGGTTGGTTGAAGTTAGACATTAACACCGTTGGATGCCGGCTCAGTGGTCTGATGGTTAGGCGCTCGCGCGCGAGACTGATAGGTCCTGAGTTCGAATCTCGCGGGTTGCGGGATCGTGGGTGCGCACTGCTGAGGAGTCCCATACTGGGACAAGACGGCCGTCCAGTGCTTCCAGGTTCTCCATGGTGGTCTAGAATCAATTGACTAATGATTTCAATCAGTGGAATGAATATAAATTTGTTATTGTATTATTTTTTAAAATCTTTTTATATATTTCTTTCAACATTTGTATTCGAATTATCATTATTGTTTTGGTATAGAATCGCTTCATTGCGTTTCCACAATGATATCAGAGAAATTTATCAATTCAATCAACTATTCCATCAGTTTTACTATATTGGGGGGTTTCTGGAGATTTCATGACTAACATCATGGCTGATTTTAATTATATAACTATTGGATAGCTGTCTAGTTCTAGTGTGAAACTTGTCAGCACTATGAATCCACGACCCTATAGAGGTTGAACCCATGATGTTTAGGTCTTCAGGCGAGTGCTCAAACTTTTATTAAAAAACTTTTTGTATTTGAAAGTCGGTAAAGATATGAAAAACCAAGTTCAATCTATTGATTTACAGTCATTTTCTCATAGAAGTAGCAAAATATTTTCGAATAAACCTACTGATGATCAAAAATCTTACAAACCATTTTTAAACTGAAAAAAAACAACAACAAGATATTTGAAAACATTTTTATGACAAAGTGATATCGACTGCAGAATCATTGTAAGGTAGGGATTATTGAACAATTGGTATTTTCTAGTTTGTAATTCCAAAATAGTGCACACCAACAACTCTTACAGGTGATCAAAATCAAACCCATATATTCTACTGCGAATACATTATCTAAAATCTCCTAATCCAATCAGTTCATGATATAGCAAGACAACAATTATTTCTGTCTTGTTCAAATATGGTTGAACTCTACCGGTCTTAGTGTGAACTGTTGAAGCATCTAACTCAAGAATAAAATATTCAGTGTTTCCTGATTTTCAGTAATCTTAACGTTCATAGAATAAATAATATCTAAAAAGTATTCAGTAAAATTTTTTACTGCCAATTTTCTTCATATTCAATAATTAGCTTTTTTCCCACCAATTCTAGGTGAAATACAGACGGATATAAATAATATTGACCCTTGAATATTCATATAACAATCCGAACTACTACATTCTCATATATCAGCATAAGAAAAGTAGCAATTTCAATAAATACAATAAAGTTGAACTTTAAAAATGAACACTATTATTTATTACGTTCAGCACTCCAGTCATAGAGTTATTCTGTTGAAACATGTTTAGTAATTAGAAAATAAGAGTGAGATTTCTAAGCCAAGTTTAAATGATCAGTTATCACCATTTGATTCAATGATCAAAGTTAGCCATAAACCTTAGTATTAACTAAAATGAATTACAATAACAGTTAAATGCATGTTTTATTTCACAATTAAGAATCCTAAAATTGATAGGATTATCAGGTTTGACAATAATACATCCAACATAATGCTTCTATTAAAAATTGTTTTTTAAATGAATGGAATAATCACTTACTTGTTGGCATAATTCAGATCGTTGTTGTTCACCATCTTTCAAATGTGTTTCATTTTGTTTAATTGTATTATTCAATCTAATAATTTGTGATTCTAATTGTTTAATTTTTTCCATTGCATCAGATAAATGTTGATCTGTTTCAGAATCCCTTAACTCTCTACGTAATCTTCGTATTTCTTGATCAGATAGCCGAATTGATGCTTTCAAATGATTTATTTCTGATTCCAATTGACTAATCTTCTGCCTTGATCTCTCGTCTGATTCTTTCATAGCAGATCTAATTGGTAGAGGGAAATTTATGATGCTAATTAATATAATTCAAGTTCAGGATCATGTTACTTACTTATAAGTAATTCCGATTGAATTAATAAAAAAGCATCCTGACAAATTGTAGGAGAATTTAATAATAAATCATTTAGATCAGTTACAACTATTATGACTATTACTGATATAGAGTTAACCACGATCCATAAATATGCTAGACGTGAAAAGTGTTTAAACGTTCGATGAAAAACACTTTATCATTTGTGTATTTATATTAGTGATCTGTATTCAAACAGATACGTAGGACTGTCCATACGTACTTAGTTAAGAATTATTAACTTTCTTATTACTGAAAACTTTCAAATGTACTAAATTAGCTTGTTAATTTGTAATTTTCTAAGTCTCGATAAACTGAAGAATTAAAATGGAAAATTGAAGGTTCATTCTTATCATTTATAAGTAATATAAATCAATGATTTTCAAATATCTAGTTGGTCCTTTAAGTTAATATCATTAGTTTGCTATCGAACTCAATTGAAATATTTGCTTGCAAATTACTTGAATAGAAGGAGATATATGAACTGATTGAACTTTATCAGTACAATAGTCTAATGAATTTACAAGTTACTTCGAACATACATTTTAATTTGACACTAATCAGTTATTTACAGTTTCATTCCAATGTATGTTCCATATTCCTTCCGATTCTGTTTTTAAACCTGAAAGGTGGTGGTTGAAAGCAATCTGTTATATCCGGTGAAGATTAAATTACAGGTAACTTCCAAGAACTATTCATGGACTAATATTCTATAAATATTCTTATTGTATAACTACTCAACAATTACACTATGTATATTTATATTCCTCTTATTATAAGCTTTTATTTTGACCTATATTTTATTATTGTACGATCTACGGTTCTTAAGTTATGCTCAGTCTATTAATTACTGTCTCCCTCATTCACAGCCACTTTTTGGTTTATTTGTGTACAAATATTATTTCCTATTTTATGGTACGTTGTGGTCTGTCTGATTGATACATAAACCGGGTATGTCTGAAATAAACGATCTGGTCTGATCTGCTCTGATTCGATTCATATTACGGAAGCTGGTATTGTGTTCTGGACTCAAGTGGAAGGGCTAGGAGGACATAGGACCAATAAGGACGCTAAACTGCTCATACCGGTTGAACGTCATTGGTTTGGCATAGTGCGAAGATAGTATAAGCCGGATCCTGATTGGTTGATAAGCCGCGTGATAGAAAAGTCAGACATTCAAGAGCATAACACAATCAACAGGAAATCCTGAACTTATGTTTCGTGCTATTTGGCAATCGTCAGTAAATCGTACCTATAATCATGAGAGAACTGAGGTTCGCTGATGGATTCGATATCCTGTCACCCAGCTTCATGATCAGAGATGTTACCACTGAGCTATCCAGGCCGCAACTTTCTTGAAATAATGATCTGCATTTACGATAGGTTGATCACTGGATGATGAACAATATTATTAACGTCAAGTCCTTCTTAGTGCAGATTAAATCCTATCGATCAAGTTGCAACGTGGCCACTAGTCCAGGTGACGAGATCTAGTGTACTATGTTGAGATATAAGGTAGTGATTGGAGGTAGTTGAAAGGCGACGCTCCAACCACCACCTTATATCTCAACATGGTGATATGAAAGGATCAAAAGACAAAATCACATTTTGACTCGTTGTGACTTTTGTTCAACATCACTTTTGTGTTTAATTCAGCATGATGATTATACAATATAACATTGGTTTATTTCGGCCTGATTTTTATTGAATATTTGTTTTGTGTGGCGCACATATATTTGGTGCACTCTTGTACCAATATTTGTGTGTTCAAATAAATAAAATAAATAAAACAGTATTTTATATTCTTTGTATTAAATGAACGTCAATTATCTTCAGCATGATATACAGAATGCAATTAGCTATAACTCTGGGTATTTTTAATATGTGATCTTATTTCCAATTAATAAGCAAGTGTGTGTACAAATCAATATATAAATGAGTGTATTTTCGACTAGAATCGTCGTCATACTTTGAGGTTAATAAAGCTTCACTTGTACCAGTCTTTCGTGTTCTTACTTCGTGTCGTGGTAATTGTAATGATTTCTCGTTTCAAGTATGGATAATCAGCGACGCGGATGTAACACAATGCACGCGATGTCGAGTCATCTGGACTAGCGACCACATTACAATTTAACAGAATTCAATCTGCACTAAGAAGGACCTGACACGCATGATATTGGTCACTTCCCAGTGATTAATCAATTGTGAGTAATTAATGATCCTTCCTTACTTCGTTTGAGATTTTCATAATTCTGAATGACCGATGTCACCAAACTTACATATTTTCTGCTTACCTGTCTGACTTATTTTTTGCACTCTTCTGACGAACTATTCTGCTTAAAAACCTAAATAACAAACCGATCAACCTAAATTTGAATCGATGAAGCGGGAATAAAACAGATTCAACCTACAAGCCCAAAAAGACATGAATTTCACTTTTTCTCGACGAGTGATTAGATTTCATACTTTGATGACCTTCGGGATGGGTGACCCTTGCTTTAATTAACGACATTAGTTGATTTTGTTCATCAATTGACAATTAACTACTCTGTATACTTTGATTAGTCTGCCGATAATTAACTAAACGATATGGTCAACTTTCAGGACAGTTTATTTTTTTTGTGGTAAAACGGTACGTTCTTTAAGATTTTTTTACAAGTATTAAGAGGAAAAAATTCATTTATTGAAATACATTCAAGATATTTTAAGCTTTTTCAGTTCCCAAGCAGGGCTAAAATCCATGATACAACAGTAACTAAAATAAAAGTAAATCAGCCTTAAAGTCATTCGGAAACAAACAGATGCGTCTTCTGAAATCACAGTAAAAAACAGATTCGCATTCTAACTTTAGCTATGATCAGTTAGTGAAAGAATATAGATATCTAAATTTACTAGATATGGTACTTCATAGTATTGCAAATTCCTCTATACTCCGGATTCCACTTTATAAAACTGTCAATAAGCGATTAGTTGTGACACCTCGTCAAGATTCCAAAGAAAGGAGATCTGAGCAAATGTGAAAACTACAGAGGCATAACACTACTGTCAATACCAGGGAAAGTCTTCAACAGAGTGTTGCTGAACCGGATGAAGGATGCAGTAGACGCCCAACTTCGAGATCAACAAGCTGGATTCCGTAAGGATCGGTCGTGCACAGACCAAATTGCAACACTACGGATCATCGTCGAACAATCAGTTGAGTGGAACTCATCATTATACATCAACTTCATTGATTATGAAAAGGCATTCGACAGTGTGGACAGGAGGACGTTATGGAAACTTCTTCGACACTACGGAATTCCTGAGAAGATTGTCAATATAATCCAGAACTCATACGACGGACTACAGTGCAAAGTAGTGCATGGAGGACAGCTGACAGATGCATTCCAAGTAAGGACCGGAGTCAGACAAGGCTGTTTACTCTCTCCCTTCCTCTTTCTTCTGGTGGTCGACTGGATTATGAAGACCTCGACATCTGAAGGAAAACACGGAATACAATGGACAGCTCAGAATCAATTAGACGATTTGGACTTCGCAGATGACCTAGCCCTCCTATCACGTACACACGAACAGATGCAGATGAAGACAGCCAGTGTAGCAGCAGTCTCTGCATCAGTAGGCCTCAGCATACACAAAGGAAAAACTAAGGTCCTCAAATTCAAAGCGGAGAACAGCAATCCAATCACTCTTGATGGCGAAACTCTGGAAGATGTAGAATCCTTCACATACCTGGGAAGCATCATCGATGAACAAGGAGGATCAGATGCAGACGTAAAGGCGAGGATCGGCAAAGCAAGGGTCGCATTCCTACAATTAAAGAACATATGGAACTCAAAACAACTTTCAACCAATATCAAAGTGAGAATCTTCAATACGAACGTCAAGGCAGTTCTACTGTATGGAGCTGAAACTTGGAGAACTACAACAACCACAATCAAGAAGGTGCAAGTATTTATAAATAGCTGTCTTCGCAAGATACTCAACATCTATTGGCCGGATACCATCAGCAACAGCCTTCTGTGGGAGAGAACAAACCAACTTCCAGCTGAAGAAGAAATTAGGAAAAGACGATGGAAATGGATAGGACATACATTACGCAAATCGTCAAACTGCATCACGAGGCAAGCCCTAACTTGGAATCCTGAGGGGAAGCGAAAAAGAGGAAGGCCAAAGAACACATTGCGTCGGATAATAGAAGCAGATATGAAAAGGATGAATTACAACTGGACGGAGCTAGAAAGGATTGCCCAGGACAGGGTTGAATGGAGAACGCTGGTGAGCGGCCTATGCTCCTTCACGAGGAGTAACAGGCGTAAGTAAGTAAGTAAGTAATATTCTGGTTCTCAACCGTTGGTCGATGCTTTGTATTTAGCCTGCTAATTATTTAATGCATTATTTAGTATCGTGGTCTGGTGTGCCCAGTCTAAAGTCGTATTATCTATCATCGAACGCAAAACAATTTCTTTAGTTTTATATCACTTCCAAAGTTGGACATGATGATGTTTCGAAGAATAAGAATGAGATGATTACAATTAAAGAAAACACACTTGGAAAAAGCAAACTTGAGTTACTATATCCCTTTTGAAAGTCTTCTTTAACATGTTATTCAGCATAGTTAAAATCAATAAAAACTTTGATAGCTAACATTTTTGTTAAAATAAACTTACTCATGAGCCACCTCTTCATTTGTCAACTTAGCTTGGATTTCTTCCAGACTTTTACGCAATGTATCTCTTTCTGCTTCTAAACGTTTAATTTCTGAATCCAACCTCCCAAGTTCTGTTTCATAACTGATATATCCTCCTCTACGTCGTCGATCACGATGACGTAAATTCGGTGGCATACTTATAGTTTTTCTGCGTAATTTCGTTACACCTAAACATTCAGGAGATGTTTCTTCTGTTGAATCACCTGTTTTATTGCCGCTATCAACTTCTTCGTCATGTAAACCAACTATTCCACCTTCTTCATCATCAGCTTCATCATTTTCTGACTCTAATAACCTTTGAGAATGAAGACTTTGTTTTAAATTAGTAAGACGTGTTGATAAATTATCTCGTTCCACTTCCACCTAATTAGATATTAAATTAAAAAAGAAACAATCATACATTAATACAGATGTATAGATAGTTAACATAAACACTAGTGACTTATAGCTTAATACTTTAAAAGTAATTGATCAAAATCCTTGTCCAAAGAACTTCAGTTCAAATATTTACACATAGAATAAAACGTGTTTTTTTAGTAAATACTTCACTTACTTGAGCTGTTTTTTGTATAGCAGTAAACAATGCATTTTGTAATTGTTCACATTTAGTTTCAATTTGCCTCAATCTTATCAATTCATTTTCCATATTTACTGAATTTTCACATGTTGCACGGATAGTTGACAATTGTGTTTGAAGACGTGCACAATTACCTTCTGCTGAGACAAGAGCTATCTCTAGATCTGTTTGTCTACAATTGAATGGGTAAATAGATGATTAAAAGAAAATATATCATTCAGTATGTGCTTTTAGTGAAACACCTGTGAGATAATACCATAACCTGAAAATTAATCGTTTTGATAACTGTTCTTATATAACTCCCAACGGCGTTTAAATTCCAGAAGACAATACGAAGAGATGGACACAGTTTATTATTATACAGCACAGACTATAAGAATACCAAGCACACAACGCGAATGCGAATGAATAAATAAATAAATAGGATTTAAGAACAACATATATATGTTAGCAAACGAAAGAGTCATTGGGTGATTTGAATAACCAGCATCTAAATTATAAGAGGAATATACGTATGAGTTGTAACACACGATTAAGCATACAGGATTATAGAAGCATGGGGACAATAACGTAAAAATCTAGGTAAATTGTTACCAACACAAATGAAATGTCTATCAAGTTAATGAAAGGGCCTGACGGATCTAAACGTGTGCAAAATCAAGTACAGCGGGGGTGCTACATGCCTAAAATAATCGTTAGAATACATGGATCAAATCAAACAAATGTGTTCACTTCTCAATAGTAATAGATTTATTTATAAACGTAAGTAATAGCTTAAGCCACATGGTTCAAAACTTAAACACCGAATGCTGTGCTTGTTTTGATGTACATAGAAAGAAACTAAATATTTTCTACTTTAATTACCATTCAAACTGACTGACTAAAAAGTTAATTAAAATAAGAACTTACACCAATACTATTACAATAAAACTATTCAATCAATTAGTTCTCTGATATAGTGAAGAAAAGAAATTGACCTACTTTGAACAGGCTTCTTTTAAAGCGGCGATTTCACGCTTTGCTGCTCCTAATTCAGCACTTAATTGGTTACGTTCATCTGTTAATGAATCCAAACGTTTACATAATTCATCTGCTTTAGTCAAACGATGACGTAATTGACTGATTTCTAGCTCAGCTCGTGCTAAACATGTCACGTTATTTTGAACGGATTCACCAAGCAAACTATTTTCTTTTTCTAGACGTGCGATTCTTTCATCTGATGAAACATCATTGATATTTTTACCTCTTAAGTTCTGGAAATAAAAAAGAAACTCTGGTAAATTGTCAACATTCAATACGGACTGTTCACTGACTACATAAATTAAGTAACTTCTATTTTTATTTGAAATTTATCAGGAAATTCATAGAGTTTGAGGTCGTTAATGGATTTAATACACTGAGGAGAACAGGTCTTTTCAAATGGAAGCAACATCTTAATAAACTGCGAGAGTGACGCATGGCTAGGGTCACCATTGATGTCTTGTGTTGATTAGATCGTAGAATGTATACGACCGTCTATGTTTTACTGTGGTCTACTCAACATTCAGATGATGATTGATGAAGTGAGTTTGGGAACATAGTCAGTGCATATGACTTCAGTAAAAAATGAAAAGATGAGGCTGAAGAAAAATCTCATTTCTGTGAACTTCCAGGAATGTTTTAAACAATAGAAACAAAGAAAAAGGTTTTTTCATGGATATATGACTGATGTTGTATTAAGTTTCTTAAATAAATCTTTCACGACCTTATTTCGCGTATTTATCGAATAGAGTAGGATATATGTTAAATAAATTCGACAATATCGAGACCAATTTAAAATGACACATCCCACAAACAATTAAAACAATCAATTTTATGGACCGGTTTGACGTTAGATGATTGGACTTTTTGCTAATAGGTACTCCTTAAGTAAGGGGTATCTGTAATTTTGAGGGGAATGATGCGTTCCATGATATTTGAATCCCTTTCGCCTAATTTCCCAGTAACAGGTTTTTTCTCAGGAGTGTTTTCCACGATAAGAATAAACTTCCTGAAGAAGTTCATCTCTTTCTATTTCTGCATTTTTTTTATTTAATGTAACCGTTAAGTTAGAATCCATGTACAGATTCTATATTAATTATGCTCCAGAAAACTTATTCACAAAACTCTATTTCATCCTTTGTGACTTATTAGTGAGAGTCGTTTACCATTAAGAAATAAACTAATCAAATATTACTTATATAACCAACCAAATAGAGAATAAACAAGTTTCATTGTCCAGGTTGGGTGGTGGTCATGCTATATCATAAATTGTCTGAATTTAAAAATGTCGAATATTGGATTCCGACTCAAAGGTTTCAAGGTAACACATATGCCGTCATCTAATGGTCATAAATACTGAAAGCAATGACTGATATTCAGTATGAAAATTATATAAACAAAATCACTAGAAATATTTTTAACGTATTTAAACAAATATATGAACAATTAATCCTAGTGATAATTACTAACTCACCTTGATAGTTTCAGTTAAATAATCATTTTCACGTGACAACTCATTGATATGTCTTTCGGAAGTTTCTTTAAATGTATTTAACGATTCTCTTGTTTTTCTTGCATCCGTTTCAAAGCTCATTCGTTCCAAATCTAATTGGCATAAACGTTCATCTTGAACTGACAAAGCTGTTTCAAGTCTTTCAAGCTAAAGTATTTGATAGTTGTTGATGAAGAGAACATGGAAAAAGAAAATAAACACTGTTATAAGCCGACAGTATGAGAAATAATTAGATGAATTAAAGATAACTACTGGAAACTCATAGAGAATAACATAACTATTTTACGGTAGTCCTCAACTATAGGGAATTTTATGTTTGAAAACCCATTTTGAAATTCCCGGAAAATCCCTAAATCATTAACTAAAACTGAATCCGATTACTAGATCTATACAATTAAAATCTACGTATTTATGCCTATGTTTGATTCAAACGGATAATTCCCCGTTTTAACTTAAATTTAAACAATTAGTAAAGTATTACGCTGTGTATATATGGTAGGAATTACAGACAACCGAAAGGAGTTACAAATAACTATGAAACTTCTTGAAATGACTATCAAGATATGGAATAAATTCAGCTCACTAGTAAACGTTAAATGTTTTCCACAATGATATAAGCGCAACTTATAGAGAAACAAGATAAACAAAAGATAGATCACAACATAATCGACGACATAAAACAAGTACAAATCATTATTGAGGGAATAGAAGAACAGTAATTAGAAAAACAATAATAGTTAAGTCATCATAATAACCATAACGAAAATAATGTTTAAAATAGTAGCTAAAGATAGTATAAAAAAATACAAACAATAGGATGGCTCAATTGATAGTTGGTTAAACATTTCGTTGAACGATGTTAAAAAGGATGCAACTGGATAGTCTGAATTTATTCACAGTCAACTTCCCTGACACATATTGTGATTATTCCTCAACAGTAAAGTGAATTACATTCGTAAAACATATTAAGGACAAAAACGTAGTGATTATACGAAAGACATAGAGAACACAAAATGAAATGATTCCGCTTTGTTCTACAATGTCTGTTACCTATCAAGATGACTAACTGTCTGAGATTAGGTTATGTCGACTGCGACTTATTGGTAAATCTTATCGTGAAAATCTTGACTCATGTCAAGGAACATCTAAGCTACAAGAAAAGATCTCCGTATAATCCTGTAGAACCTAAAAATCGACGAATAAAAACGGCAATAGCAACACATGGTATATTCAACTACTGTCAAGTCTATATTAAAAGTATCCGAATAATTCAACGACATCTAGCCATAAAGAAAAGTGACTAGCTGAAGCACTAAATTGCTATGATGAAAAGAAAAGTCAATTTTCGATTAATTTACTCATTATGTGTTTTATTCAATATTACTTCCGTTCTGATTCAATGTGATGATTATTCATTGCAGTAGTTGTTTTGTTTTCTCGTATGGTATTCTGTACAATATGCGATATTCTTGTATTCCATTGACATGAACTATTCTCAGTATGTGATTTCTTATAACTTTAAGTATTTTTCATATATGTGATTACATTCTAATTAATAATCAAAATGGGTGTACAATCAATATATAAATGAGTGTTTTTCGACTATGGTTGTCGTCTTCGTCGTGTTTTTTGGGTTAATAAATCTTCACTTATACCAGTCTTATATTCTTACATTCACATCGTGGGAATTGCAGAGGTCCCTCGTTCCGAGTATAAGTAAAAAGCGTTTCCAGCATAACAATCAGTGACGACCAGATACAAAAAGTAGCATTAAAAGAGCCAAGACAATCAGCATTCAAACGACACGTTATAACATATATACATATATATTGCTAAATCACGCTGCATCCAATAGAAAAGGAAGTTCTAGCTATTCAACTAACTTGGAAAATCTGTATGAATAGTCACATATAACCTATTCAAGGCCCCACTATAGAAACAGATAGTTTAAACTAATAGGTTACATCACAAATATTATCGTTCACTTATTCTTATTTAAAAAAAACTAACAATACATATGGAACATATGGAACAATACTATGGAACCAATTTGATCTAAATAACGTGAAATTAGAACGATCAGCCTAGTATGTCAGTAATGTGTGATGTTGATTTTTCATAACACCATTGAGACTTGTGCTGACTGCAAAAAGTCACATATTTTGTGAAAGAACGACTCGTCACTACATTGTTCTAGCAACTAAGCTTCATTCTTTCTTCTCCATCTTTATGTGTATTATACCATACTACTTATGAATATTCAGTAGTTAATATTTACTATTAATGATTCTGACCTCTACTAAATGAACCTTCTAAGTTACAAATAACACAATTTTGAAGTATTTATGTCATAACAGAACACCTTGTCTATTTTAAAAGCATGGGGACTAATTTATTAACGTTAATAGCTATTACCTGTTTTACATAGTTGAGAATTGTCTCTTGATCCATAATATGTGTTGTAAATTTATTTTTACCTACGTATTTAAATAACACTCCTATTTAATAATGCTTTAAACGACATAACTGAAGCACAAATATCACACGATTCGACAGTCTACTATGAAAGACAAATCTTGTCATATTATGAGTCACTCAATCGTGTTGGGGGTTAGCATCTTCGAAAATGTTCTAGATATTTGTGTATGTATTCGGTTTCGAAATGGAAATGAGATGATAACTAATGAGATCTATTTCGAAAGCAATAATACCAAAAACAATCATGTTCATAATAATGTTAAACAGTTTTGTCTTCATCATTTTAACTGCATACATAGACATTAATATATTTTTAGTGAAATTCCATACCATAAATAAAATGCTCATGCATTATAACATAATATCACATTTAATTTGAATCTAATTCTCTTTAATCATAACCTCACCTTATTAGTTAACAATTGATTTTCACGTTTCACTTCAGCTAAAGATGCTTCTGTTTCAATATTAACTTCATTAACGGACTGAGCTTTAACTAATAACATTTTAGTCATTTCAAGTTCTTTATTTAAACGTCGATTCACTTCTTCTAAATGATTTAGACGATTTGTCACTGATTCAGATAATTGATCTGATAAACTACAATTTAATCCATTTGATTGTGATAAGAATTGTTGTTGGTGGTGCTGATGTAGATGGTTATTCGCTGAAATGTCGATAGTAGTCAAGTCTTCATCAGTTGCATCAAATGAAATGCGATTTTGTTGTTTCTGTTGTATAATTTGATTACTTTTCTCACTATTATTATCATTAGTAGTTACAATATCCTTTGAATTAGCCAGTTTATTAGGTGAATTCATAAACTTTTTATGTGTATAATGTTCTAACTTAAGTTTGCCTAATTCCTCATGAAGATTTTTAATCAAATCCAAATCTGAATTTCGAGCCTTTAAAGAAGAAAGAAAAAGAAGTTTAATTAAAGAGAAGAAATGAAACTTTAAAGTGAGTATCAGTAAGTAAAATGATTACTTCTATATAGAAGGGAAATGTTTTCATTCAAGCAACTATTATCAGTAACATAATGTTCTATAGTTATTTACATAACTTCATTGTTTTATTCATATCACTGTATTTAGAGATAACACCAATGAAATTATCTATTTCTACTACGATTCGGTATAACACATTGGGATATATGAAATTAAACTCAATTGATCTAATTAATTTTAAACTATTAAGTAAATAACCTAGTACGTATTTATTGAAAATGAGACAATGAAGTCAAGTGAATTTCATGAATTATCCCTCTACACTATTATGAATACATTTTTTCAAATTGATGCGTAGTAAGCAGTTTAAAACGTGAATGTCTGAAGAGTTTGTTGTTTTCCTGAAAAAAAAAGAATCTTTGTTTAAACAAGGTATATAATTTGAGAAAGTATTTGATAATAATGCTAATAGGGACTACTATTCCAATCAAAAAATATCTGAATTTCATTAGTCGAGACTTTAGAACTTGAGTAACGTTGGATGATTAACGCTCTATGTCGCTAATTGATTCAAATTGAAATTACACTATTCAACACCAACCCAGTTGCTATAATAATCAATGATTGTAAGCGAGACGTAAAGGTCTCTGGTTCAGTCCGTCATAGGGTTGTGGGTGTGTACTACTAATGGGTTTCATATTGTGATAGGATGTAGTGCTCCCTGGTTTTCAATGGTACGGAAGTTGAGATCAATCTGTGAAAGATATAACTCACAAATATTATCATAGTTTCCGAATTGAGATTGATAAGAATTATTTCAGTAGACCCATCTTAACAACAATACTAGACAAAACACTCAGGTTTTCACTGAGATTAGAGTATGCAAATAATACTACAGACATTAATTATATTATTGTTATTATTATTATTATTATTATTATTATTATCACTGAATCAATCGAATTACAAATATATTGGTCATCATTAAATTGTTAAGATGCATATCAGCTAATGATTTATTAGCTTATAAAATAAAAAAACCATAATGGTTTCAAATCTATGACTACTGTCTATTATCTAAAAACTATTACATAAACAATAAAATTAAACAATGAAGGAATAAAATTAACATGATCGGAAACTAGAATGGAAAACAAAGACATACATTTTCTGTTTCTGTCAATTGACATCGTGTTTTATTTAATTCTTTCTCTAAATCTGTAATTTTATGATGATATTCATGAGTGATTTCTTCTTTATCTGCCCATTGTGAATGTTCATTAGATAAAATTTCTAAATCTTCAGTAAGTTGTTGACATCGAGCCTGTCAAAAAAAAAGATAAATAAGAATTTTTTTAAATACCCTTGCTTAATTGTACATAACAACGTATCTTACATTTACAAACTATCATGATCGAATTGAAAGCAGCAACGTAAATACACATACATGTATAAACAAGGAAATTACTCCCAACTGATAACAGTCTATTGTATACGGCATAAATTCAGTCATATTTTTAATAAAATGTTATAACTTCGTTTAAGGTAAACTAAGAACTTTCATATAATGATAAATGTCGTAAAATTTTTGAAGTTACTATTTATTATGAATTGATATTGGCTAAGATATTATAGTAAACCATGCAATATCAGGCATCTGCTTCATCCTAGTTTAGGATTCTTCTTCATCACCGTACACAAATCCAGGAACACAACGTTACATGACAAGCGCAATGTAGTTTCACGGTCAAAACATTAACTTCAAATCGAATAATCCCCTTAAACTTTCTATATAACAACAATGATGCTATACTCATGATTGACATTATATGTTAACAATTCAAGCTTGACTGAATCAATAATCAGGAACACCCCATGTAACTAATTCACTTTCATTGATACTCATTCAACGACCCATCCACTCTCAATTAGGATGGCAATTAACTGAAGAAAAAAAAAGATAACTTCTTCATTCAAAAACAATCAACATACAACTGTTATGATATTGATTCAACATTAACCGACAAATTTACAACATATTCAGCTAACTGAGGCCGAATACCTTAACCATAAGTACTATAACCTATAATTAAATGGGCAATCTATATGTGAAAAGGATAAATCTAAGCTGTTAACAGCGAACCAAACAAAAACACATACAAAGTATTTTTTGTGGCAGGTCGTCTTCTTTTCCCAATAGAATTTATAAGATAGTCACTAAGCTAAGTGAACTGGCACTTCAGTAACTGCTATTTAATGTTAAAATGTTGAAAGCTATCCGAGTGATATTATTTTACGTTAGTAATCACTTTTAAGTTGGTTAAAAATACCTTAATTTATAAAATTATATTCTATTTAGGTAAATTACAATCGAAACTAGATATTACTGAAATAAATCTAAAAATTAGTTTACTTTATAATAATCGATTTCGTGTAGTCTTTCTTTGAGTTTTTCATTTTCTGCTTCTAAGTTAATAACACGTTCTGCAGTTTGTTTTAATGCATCCACTTCATCTTGCCAATGTCTTGCTGTATAAGCTGCATCAGCTAAACGTGCTCGTTCCTCTTTTACTTGACTTAATTCACGACGTGTTTCAAATAAATGATCTTGTAGTTCAACTAATTGATCAGCTTGATCTTCACTATAAAAAAAATGAAAGAATTGTAATGAAAAAATATGGAATACTTGAAACTCACAATTACAATTTGATGAGAACTATTTTGACATGGTTTCTGTTCATTCTGTTTATTTCAAATTGTCATGCTAAGGTTGTATGGTAAATTAAGATAACAAACATTTGTGCCAGACACCATATCAATTATGACTGTGGATGACTAATTGATATTATTATTTCAAATTATTTGCCTTTTATTCTGTTAGTTCACTATATCACTAAGTAATTATAACTTAAAATAAGATGAGCGAAAGAATATCATAGGTTGTTGTCACTAAGACAAAATAGAATAATATGCTTCTCAACGATTTTCTTCAAAATCTTAATAGAAAATTTAGTATAAGTCATGTCTTGTAGATTAATATGATTATGCAACAACTTCATAGTCAATAAATACAAAAATAGGCATAGTGAATTACAATCGCAATATCGAGTCACCTAAGATTGGTGGCCACTTTGCAACTTGTTCGATAGGATTCAATCTGCACACAGAAGGACCTGACACACATGATATTGTTCATCAACTAGTGATCAATCAATTGTGAATTTAATTGTATCATAAGATAAAGTATAAATCATAACTTTTTGTCTTGTAATACACACATAAATACATAGAAAACCAATTAAATTTAGGAATAGTTTAATCAGATTAATTCAAAAAAGGTTTTGTATAGTCAATCACTAAGAAAACTTAAATAGAATTGTAACCTGGATAGACGATCCATTGAAACCATAACTTATGAATTAAATTTCTATTCTTTTTAATTCAATTACAGTCGATCAGGGTTAAGGTTATCAGCAACTTTTCCCATATTCAATAAGTATGTTTTATTCATCATTTTCCGTTAGTTCGTCGTTCATTTACTAGATGAGTGTTATTTATTAGTGTGTAAGTGTAGTTACAAAAATTTTTTTTCAAACCTTAAATTGCCCCATATTTGAGTTTTCCACCCAGTATGTCAGAAGCAGCCAAACAAAGATGTTTATAATAGATAGCTACAGGTAACTCTAGACGTTTACACTAAAATTTATGGTGAAAATAACTAGTAGGCAGTATTCACTTATTTAATGCACAAAAAACATGGTCGAAAGTGATGGACAAAATACACTTATTGAACAGTAAGAACGTTGTAGTTAACCTCATTCGTAGTTCAGTGAATAATAATACTGTTTCATTTTTTATTTCTGCCTTAAAACTACATAAATCAAAATCTTCTTCATTTAAAACATTAACTAATGGATTTAGAATTGAGACTTGACTAGCTTCAAAGAGAGCTTTCATCACATGCTTCCAAATAAAAGTGGATGAATTAATTTTTTATACTATCATCAATATTTCTTGCATAACAAACACTTTTAACCATTTCAGAGATTAACAGCACAGAGTATTTAAGTTGTATAACTATGGCATGATATTGTTGTAAATGCTGACATATTATCATTGAGTATTTATCGTTAATTTCGGAACTGATTGGCTATAAATTTACTGTAAATTGTTTATATCCTTTCAGTGAATCACACACAAACTAGTCATAAATTATTATTCAATCTCAATTAGTTCCCTAAGCCTAATGTAGTTTCTGTAAATATCTGATTAAGTTTAGATAGTAGATGGAAGACAAGTGAAAAACCAGGAATTTGAGAGATCCTCTTGTTTTGGACTTTCATGTAGTGTAGAACCATGACTTGGTTAAGAATCAGATATAATATTTTCAGGTCTTATGGCTAGTAGCTAGGTTATGATATAATGATCGATATCTTACGTCATATGGTTCACAGAAGTGTGAGCTTTACCAAATATAGTTACTAAGTATCTCTCCCCAGCCCTGGACTGGTTAACACCATATGTCGCACGTTTCCTAAAAGACATTCAGAAATCTATCATAAGACAATTCACCGATGAGTACTGATCAGTAAGATGGCTTGTGTATCAGCAAGTTTGTAAAGACAATAAATAAAGAAACAGAATTGGGCTAATTGATTATTCTGTGATAAATGATGTCATATCTAGTCCTTTGTGTTGACAAAATTCTATCGATCAAGTTGGGATGTAGCCACACGTTTAAGTGATCTAAATGGCAACATACTTTTTTCTTAGGGGGTAGAGACGATTGGGATAAAACCATAAATCAAGATATCATATTATTTGGAACTCATCACTTGTTAATGAAAAATGAATAAACATAAAGTAGACATTAAACAAAGGATGCAAACTTACATTTCAATATGTGCTCGACGTAATTTAGCTTTGGTTTCAGCCAACTCAACCGATAAATGATGTTTATCCGTATCCATTACAAGAATTTCAGGTGTTAAATTATCAGTTGGTGGGTATAAAGAACGGATTGAGTCTAACTCTGTTGTTTCCACTTCTAAACCAGAATCCATTCGACCAATTTCTGATAATTCATTTATATTACTGATATTATTATTGGTCGTAGTATTTTGATTAACCTTATTATCATTCATAAAAACTCCATCATTTAAATGTTCATTAGTCTGTTCAAAAGATTCGTTTAAATCACTGATATCCGATTTTTTACGTGATAAAAATGGTTGTTCATCGAGCCTAGGTGTAGATATAGCGAAATGACCATTATTATTACTGTGTGAATTATCAACACCAAGTGATATGGTAGAAACAGATCGTTCTTTTAATCCATTAGGTCCTAATGTTTTAGATCGCGAAGCTAATTGGTACCTTGCTTGTAATGTGATAAATTTGTTTTGTAATGATGCTAATTCATCTAATAACTGAATAATTTCCTAAAACAACATAAAAAATGAAAAAGAATTACATTTATAGTGTTGTAACGGAATGAATGCTCTGAAAATCTCATCAAGAGTATCTCATTTAATAGAATTATTAGTTCTTAAATTTTTATCCCTGATTTGTTTGTTAACTATTATTCTAGACTTCACAGTAGCCACTTTTCATATTTTTCAATTTCTTTTAACTAAACCTTTATTAGTTAACTCTGGTTAAGGTGTGAGTTTAACTGATCCCGTAGCTATTCTAGAGTTTATCCCAGTCCTAAGTTCGGATGAAGTAGGATGGTTATCATTATCAAAGCATCCTTCAAGACAGAGGAGAGGATCATAATGAATGTTATCCAGTGACAAATACCAACTATATGATAAAACGAAGAAACTAACGGGAAATATTGCAAACCAGAGTGATTAGTCAAGAAAAAAGAAGACAAACCAAGCACGGAAACTCAAGAACACAGGAACAGTTCGGTAGAAAACTTTGATGAGTTCATGAATAGACCAACCCTACTGAACCCACCACCAGACATCGAAGCGGCATCTACGAACCTTCATATACATTTCACTCCACAAATGATCAAAGAAATCAGGATGACCATCAGACAAATCAAAAGTGAGAAAGCAGCAGGACCAAATAACATACAGGCTGAAGTACTGAAGTCAGACATACAGGTAACTGCAGAGATGCTCTATCTTCTATTCAGGAAGATTTGGGAGTAAAAACTAATGCCGACAGACTGGAAAGAAGGATACCTCATCAAGATACCAAAGAAAGGAGATCTGAGCAAATGTGAGAACTATAGTGGAACCACACTACTACCGATATCATGAAACTTCTTCAACAGAGTGCTATTGGACTGAATGAAAGATTCAGTGAACGTTCAGCATCCAGATTAACGGGTCGGATTCAGTAAGAATCGGTCGTGTATAGACCAAGTTGCAACACTATGGATCATTGTTCAACAATCAATTGAATAGGACTCTTCATTATACTTCAACTTCCTAGATTTTGAGAAAGCATTTGAGAGTGTGGATAGAACCTTATGGAACCTTCTTTGATAGTATGGTGTACCTGAGAAAATCATCAACGTCATCTAGAGTTTATACGACGGATTATAGAACAATGTCGTGCATGGGAAACAGCTGACAGACACATTCAAATTGAGGAACGGAGTCAGACAAGACTGCTTACTCTCTCCCTTTCTCTTTCTTTTGGTGGTTGACTTGATTATGAAGACCTTGACATCTGAGGGGAAGCACGGAATACAGTGGACAGTTTGGATTCAACTAGATGATTTGGACATCGCAGATGATATAGCACTTCTATCCCATACACACAAACAAACGCAGATGAAGACAACTAGTGCAGCAGCAGCCTCCGCATCAGTAGGCCTCAACGTACACAAACGAAAAAGCAAGATCTTCAAATACAACATAGAGAGCACTAACCCAATCACATTTGATGGAGAAACTCTGGAAGATGTGGAAACATTCGGGTATCTGGGTAGCATCATCGATGAATAAGTAGGATCTGATGCAGACGTAAAGGCAAGGATTGGCAAAACAAGGGCCACATTCCCACAGCTGAACAACATATAGAACTCAAGACAACTGTCAACCAATATTAAAGTGAGAATCTTAAATACTGTATGGAGCTGAAACTTGCAGGACTACTACAACCATCATCAAGAGGGTACAAGTATTTGTAAACAATTGTCTACGCAAAATACTCAGTGTCCGTTGGCCAGACACCATCAGCAACAACCAACTATGGTATAGAACAAACCAGCTTCCAGATGAAGAGGAAATCGAGAAAATATGTTGGAAGTTCATAGTAAATACATTACAGAAATCACCAAACTGCATAACGAGGCAAGAGCTAACTTGGAAACCTGAAGAGAAATTGAAAAGCGGAAGACAAAGTAACACAATGTGACTGGAATAGGAGCAGACATTAAAAGGGTGAGTAGCAACTGGAAAGGATTGCTCAGGATAGAGTTGGATGAAGAATCCTGGTAGACGGCTAATGCTCCACGAGGGGTAACTGGAGCAAGTAAGTAAGATGTGCATTTATTTACTCGATTTTGTTATATAAACCCCGACAATCGACAATAAGTTCCTGTCTAACCGAACTCAAGGTTATAGAGCAGAGTTTGGTTGTTGTTGAACCCTAACTGTTTACTAGAAACGTTTGTTGACCACTTTGATTCTAACAGACAGAAATTCGATCTCAGTTTTTTAGCAACCTTCTTGTTGATCCACAATTACTTAACAGTTGTATTTATCGATCGTTTTCCTCTCTATAGGCAGTAATTTTGCCTCAGAGAAACTTCTAAGTGTCTGGTGGGTTAATGATACCATTGAGCTTTTTTTATACGGTTCGCTTTCATGACATAGTATCACAAAAATTACGCACAAAAATCGTGTTTTGTTATAATCGACGATTTTGGTTAATTCAAAGAAGCTTCATACACTATGCAGAATAACGCAGTACTTCGGTATAATCAGATAAATCTTGGGTTGTTGATCGTTTTCTGCGTTCAGACCAAATATGTTAGCAACATAAAATACATCACAGTTTCATGAATTTCTGGAATGAATATAGGAGTCGTGTGGCACATTTCTGTTACAACAGATAAGCTACTAAAATTTTCCAAGTAGACCTACAGGATTCAAAGTTAGTAATATTTGCGTAGTCTCATTTACAAATCCTTCTACAAATGTTGCAAATGTTATTATGTAAAGCCAATCTATTCTTCGTTTATATATCACCTTAATTACAAATGTCGAAAGTAACTATTCTTTGAAAATAAACTTTATCAACCCTGAATTCAATGATAATCTACAAATAATAGGTAATGGATTTCCAGAAACTCATCATATGATTTCTATGTAAATATGCGTTTTTTTCAATAATGTTTTTTAGAATAGCATACCTCCAAATAAATATCTTCAAGTTGATTGACTACAGATCGAAAAGTTCGTAAAATATCAGCATCAGATGATCGAAGTTTTTCAAAACTTACGATACTTGCCGGACATTCAGTAACCTGTAAATTACAAAAAAGAACATCTCATGATAAATATTAATTTGAAACGAAAATATTAATAGTAGTACGAATATAGAATGTAATCTATAAGTAATGAGATGCTTAGACCGTAACTCATCTATATATTCGTATTAAATTGCATTCATTCTCAATAATTGAGCAAGTTGTCCTATCTTAAACATTCTGTATAGTGTCACTCGCCAATCTAGTTAAAAGAAAAGTTATCCACTATTTTAAGTCCTAAATAATCCTCTACAATCTATATTATTGAAGAAGAAGAATAAACGGTGGTTTGAATGCCATATTTTGTATCTGAATATTCACTACTTTGATATGTACAATCACTTTCTAGTATTGTTAGACAAAGTGGACTTAAAGATATCACTCGTAGATGTACGGTCGAAAAAAGTGAATCTTTGCTTTTGAAAACACTTTGAACATAACAATTTTTAACTGTCCAAGTGATATACTAATGGAAACGAAGAAAGTCAGTGTGACTGAAAACACAACGAACGCTGATCAACTGATGTTGTGAAGAATGTGAGAAACTATCAACTTGCTCTATAAGGTTCAAGAGAAAAAATGAAGTGAAACGACTGAAGATTGATTAATCTGTACTAACTTTATCCATGGTTTCTGATAATACTGACGTGCAATTCTAACAACTATATAAAAAAGCCAAAAACCTCAAAATTTTAACTTATTTTTATCTGATGCTTTGAGCTACTATGTAGCAGTATGAATCTAAAATATAAAGTAATCAGCCGTCAGACCACACCGTGTATCATGAAATGCGTATTCGACAGCTACATCACACTCTATTTTCAAAAAGCTATGGATGAATCTCGGCATTGTGAACAGTTAGATCTGATACAACAGTAGCTTATGAATGAACGAATTCCTAACAAAAAAATACGTAGGTTGGCCTTTTGGTGCGTAAAAATAACTTGATATATCCAATCGTTTGAAAGACTATTTTCACAGAGTTAGCTATGTTAGTGCCAACCTTAATATGCAGAGTTGTTTTTTAATACATGTAATATAATTAAATATGATTTTACTGGAAGTGAACATTATTTGAGAATCGATAATGTAGGGATATACCTCCACCATATTGTTTATTCTTCACAACAAATTAGCTTCTGTCTATAAAACCATGAATACAACTACGAAATCTCCGACAAAATACAGAAGCAAAGCAATAATGTGAGTTTTCCGAGATAAAAAACATCTTGCATAAACACTAAATTACAATCGACATTACATTTGAATATATATATGGATGTAAAAATAAAATATTCCTAATTTATTATTGAATAAGGAACTGTAGAAAAGTTAAAGGTCAATTATAGCCAATCAAGATCGAGGTCTACAGGACAAACAGGGAGTCATATGTGGAGAAGTTTGTGCTGATGATTTCGGTCAGAATAACGATGAAAGCTACACGACCGAACTGTCCAGCTCAGAGGACAAAACTCCATCTGAGTTACAAATCTTCATTATGGAAAGCAGATTTTATCGGAAAGAACGAGATAAAAGTTGTTACTTTATTTACATTTTTAATACATGTCATTATACCAGTTTGGACGTCAGGATTTAAATTTTCCATAATTTGACGGATAAAATAATCACGACGATCACATCGTACAGCTGCACATAATAAGAAAAGTAAAATCTTTTCTAATTCTTGATCAGCTTGAGCTGAAAATATAAAGCACACAAAGAAAACGTACTTTTTTAAATTAAGAATTTTTACTTAATTCTGAAATTATTCTTAAAAGAAAAATACAAGTCACTTTTGTATGAAGATAATTTGGAATGAAAGTAATAACGATAGAATAATCCATTATGTTAACCGGTGTAAAACAATAACTCGATACGTCAAATGCTGCAATTTAGAGTCTTGTAAAAACTTATGCTTTCCCTTCAACATCAGTTATTTATATACGTATAATGCAGCGTAAAAACCAACAATTCTCTGAATCATCAGATATGCTTCATTTTGATCGGTGTTATCCGCTATGGTTTTATAGTTCACTAAGCGCATCGTACCCAATACTACTGATTATTTTTCCATCCATTTAATCGGTGAATACTGAATATTAAAGTGTATAGTTTTCATTAAAGATTTCATTCTTTAATTCTTTAGTTTCATTATCTTAGGATTGACTACACTTTACATGTTGATAGCAGTCAGTTCCAAAAAGTTCCAACCGTTTAAAATTACATTTTAACATTCAGTACCACTATCCACTAAATGACCAAAAATACTTTTTATTCGATCAAATTAAATTGTATCTTTCAAAGTAGAGAAAGGAAAGTAACAGAGAAAATGATAAACACAACAAGGACTAATACATCAAAAAGCCATTAAGTAATGAAAAGAATTCTCCTTGATATTTTCGTACAGAATGGATTAGTCAAATCGTTTGATACAACCATGATGACCACCCAGTGAAAATTTCAAAAAAAAAGGAAATAAAAACCTTTGTTATTATTATTTCTTAAAAATACTTATTATGTTCAACTGTCTTTAACTTAAAAATAAATAATATTTATTATTCAGTGTTGAAGGAAAGTGTAGATGTGGGAGTGAGGAAGGGTTAGAGAGATAGAGAAGGGAAACCAGTCTACCTAAATAAGATGAATGTTCAACAAACAGATTTTTGCTATGGTTAATGGTAATTTGTTTATTCATTAAAGACATGTACTTAACCATCTTTCTAAATAGTAATACCAAGCCTATAGCTGGTGGTCTAATTAGATCTTTGGATTATACAATTTTCTAGCTGGTATCATTATATTCTCAGTTAGCTTACGATTATTCTGTATTATAAATAGTTAGACTATATCGCTTAATATAAAGCAAGATCTGAATGTTCTAGAGAATTCTATGATTAATTGCTAATACTTCAATAATAATTAACCTCCTCCATACAATTGGAGAGAGAAGATAAGAAGTTAGGAAAAGCTAAATGTTTCAAGAGGTTAAACTTGTGATATAATAACCTTGTTTAGACAACAACAACAACAATGACGCTGAGATATTTAACGAAAATAGAAAATCGAAAGCGAAAGTAACTGATCAGATGATTGCAAAAGTCATTAGGATAATATCCACCAGAAAGTTACTGACGACTTCGTGTTTTATCAGAACTAAAATTTATTACACTATTGTAGTGAACGAGAACGCCAATCAGGACAACCGAGTGTTTTGGAATGTAACATTACATAATATCATGGAAAAATTTGAGAACCACACAGTTGTTTATTCTCTGAAGTGGCCTACACTAAGTCACGAAACAATAGAAAAATTTTTTTTCTACTCATTAGGAAATTACAAATATATTAATTTATTTATAACAATCTACCCAACTTATTCGAAATTACCAAGTCAAACCTTGGTAATGATACCTACATACAGTGAATACCTCATTTGCAAAATGTTAATTAACCGTCTCAGATGTCATTGATCTTTCGTTTCCACACCATTTTCTGTTCTCGTTCTCTTTTCTTAGATCTTCCTCACCTTCTGCCGCCAGACATTTCATATTTTATTGGTCATACATACTACTTATATCTGTCAACATCAGTAGCGCACACCACACCATTTTTTTATTATGGAAGTAAAAACCTAGATATTGTAAGACCTTCTTAGTGATTCTAAATCCGTTTACGATAAGATGCCGCCACTGATGTTAATTTATTCCATCTTTCTTAATATACATACAGTTGACTTTATCTCTGTACTAAATTGAGGTGGGTACAATATACCTCAAATCATATTTGTTTCGGGTGCTTATGTTGTTTATGTTTGACTAACTAAAGGAAATGACAGAACGTGTTGGTGATAACTAAAAGCCAAAATCAGATCAAATATTTTAATATTATCACTGAAACTTATTTATCACAGATATTTATAGATCTTGACATCTCAAGAAAACAAGTCAAATGATGAAGTTTGATGAAAAATATTGTTAAGTAAATTGATAAGTAAAAATGAAACATAAGAAGAGTGATACTGCTTGTCAAGTTTGGTTGTATTTTCTGGTCCAAATCACTGCTCATCCAACTTGCCTTTTGTGCATTGCTTTATACTACTTGTTACTATTAAGTAAACAGTTCTATTTCTTATAATTTCTAAGGGTATGGTGTAACACTAGTTTATTTGTTGTGTAATATCCTAAAGTAATCACAATTATTAATAACATTTACTATATTTATTATCATAAATTACTATCTCTCAACCCTTCTAACAGTTATTTTGACTTTCCTGCATTCCTTGAATCTTGGTTTAAACTCAATGGTTTCTACATTTGTGTGCTCTTAGTGCTCTTAGTGTTGATAAACTGTTGTTAACATACTGTGTTAACAGACATACAGGTCCGTTATTCATCACAGATATCTCGATAGTTGATGTTTGTAACTAATTTATGTATATTCCACAATAAAGAACCGTTTTTAGACAAGTCTTTGTTTTATGAACTTTGGTTTCGCGCGTATCTTAATCGTGCAAGTGGACGTTTCGATAAGATTAGCATTGTGTATATTATTATGTGATTATCTTTGTAACATCTTATGAAATTAATTAAACAGGTAGGGAAAATTAATAAGTAAAGAATGATTACTTTATAATTACGGCATTGCTTGGAATGAACCCACGAAATCTACATGTTATAAATATTAAAACAATTCCATAAGCTTAAAAAATACTGTTCGTTATCAAAATTGTTGAATTAAAATTTTAAAAACAATAACAATAATAATAATAATATAGGTGACGAACAGTGTACTTCTTTTAAAGAGAAAACAAGAGAAGATATGAATTCAAAAATAACCATAGGTATCAGGATTCATAGTCTAGGGTATTAAGTGTCTCTCATGTATGCACAACTCTGAGTTTAAATGTATTGATATAGAGCCTCGGGTATACAGCCCATAGAAATCCTAACATGTTGTGATTCATTACTATCATTCGCAAGTTTTAGGCCTTTTCCGTCACAAGAAGTGTGGAAATGTTTTTTCTAGCATTTAAAGGCCTACATTTGGAATGTATTGTCTCAGCGAATGTAAATAAGTAATCGAAAAACTTTGCTAAATGAGAACAGAGCCGGTAATAATGGCATACCTCGAAGTAAATGAGTGGTAGCTCCGAGACATTGACGCCAGAAGTGGAGAAATGTGGGATGCCCAGACCACCTACAGCACCTGAAGTATATAAATAGGCTACTGTAGTATTAGAAGGTAGTCCTAACCTTTTCCCCACCGAAGCATGAGTCATCCGATCCATAGTTCTTAAAGTCTCCTTATGAACGGCAACCTATGTCAATAGATATAATAGTCTCCCGAATAAATCTCCTCTAAGAATTTTCATTCGCTGTTTTGTTTTATGTGAGCAACCTTCATCAAGTAGTCTTGTAGCAACTCTAGGTGGTTTGCTGAACAATGACCTGTTATATTATCTTTGCTTATTACTTATACTTGAAAACGAAGAACGATTGCAATTACCATGAGGCAAAGCAAGAACACGGAAGACTGGTACAAGTGAAAATCTCTCCACCCCGAAAACACGATGATGCTAGTCGAAAATACACTCATTTATACATTGATTTGTACACTCAGTTGATTATTAATTAGGAAAAAGTCATATATATGAAGCTATAGCAAAATCCCATTTGCATATCATCCAGAGCATAGTTCATTTTTATATAATATGAGTAAATCATATCATGAATAAACATTACACTGAAATAGATCTATGTTATACTGAATAAAATATCACACTGAAAATAAAACAAATATTGCACCGAATAATCATCATTCTGAATTAAAAACTGAAGCAATGTTCACAAAAAACCACGATGAGTCAAAATGTAATTTTACCTTTTTATCCCGTCATATCACGGCCCTTGTAGTTAAAGAGTACACCGAGGTATTCAAATGTATTAGTAGTAGGTGTTAGCTGAGGGATATAGGTTCCACCGGTGGAGAATTAAATGCGCACAAGCGCCGTTAACTTATAATGTCTCCCAGAATGTAGTTCTATAGTTCTGTTTTTTCTATCATTTACAGACCAACCCACCTGCTCCAGTAACTATATGATCTTAGCTAGTTTCTTATGGAGTAGTGTTGAATATGGTTCAAATGTGACAAGGTCGTTTGGGTAGGCAAGGTAATCCAGGGCCTCTCCGTCCACATTCAGATGAGTTAATAGGTCAAGGCTTTCTAGAGTCTCATGCAGGACCATTATGAGTAACAGTGGAAATACGGGATCTCTTGTTTCACACCACACATTAGATGACACTCAGCGTTGGTGAAACGACTCTGAAAAAATTGATAGCAATTACTAACATAGCGGAAGAGTAGTTCAGGAACTCCGAATCATTCGGCAGCTGTAACAATAGACCTGTGATACTATGTTAAAGGCTCGCGAGACATATAGAAAGGTCAGGGACGTACCATTGTTATGAGTATGTATATGCTGTGACACATATTAGAACAAACTGACAGCTTCGACGTAACTGTTAAGATTAAGGAAGGCAAACTGAAGGTGTCTCTATAGGGAGGGTTTCGAAAATCCTGTTCAGATTAGTTTATAATGAAAATCAACTTTAGAATTTAAATTTGATCAGCCCCACTTTTTTCCGTTAAATGTATTTAGAAACGTAATTTTCTTATCTTAGTGTCATACTTCCAACTAG